ATTTGGGTGATTGGTCACAAATTGCTATATTAAAGTAGCAGCCATGTAGCCTGATGGAAAACATTTGGCTCGACGATGTCAAACACTGAGAAGTTTGAGTTATTCGTATGAAACGTTATCAAACGCGCCGATTTTTTCTTTTTGTCAATAAAATAATAATTTAAATTAAAATTTAAAATGACTTGCTTTCTTAATGATCTAAATTAAGTCAGGTTCAGTTTAGCATAATCTTTTTGACTTCAAAATAGATCTTTTTTTGGCAAGCTTATGTCCGGCCAGGTTTGGACATGCATATTTAGATGTATATTTATATTTACGTAGAACATTTTTAAACCAAAGCGGCGTCGGAGCGGCGCCTCGCTCACAACAACTGGATGCTGCGGTGTGCAGTTCTCGGGTTTTCACTTCACAGTTTCCGCTCAAGGTCACACACAACATCTTGAAATGTAAGTGTACTTTGTAGGCAGGTCTTTGGTAAATCGTCAAATTGTATCGGTTGACACAATACATGTTTCTGCAATCTAAGGTCCGATTTGAACACGATAGTCTTCGCAGTTTCCCAAACTAAAAGGGCACCTACATCTATATTTATTTAATTTGAATCTATGTTGTGTGTAAAAATGAGAAGGGGAAAAAAATGGTGTCAAAGCAGAGGAGACACAATGGTCCAAGCTGTGAAACCACAACAGCAATCTGTGAAAAAAATATGCAGATATAATCAGTCACTGTAGGGTTAGAGCTTGTTTACATTAGTGACAGATAGTTTAGTTTTTTTTTTTCTCCAAATGTAACAGTGAACCTACATGCAGGAATTTCTCCCAGAAAAGCATTTTTCCCCCTCCAGGGAAAGCAGGAATTACCAGCCCTTGGATTCTCAGTAATTCACTTCATTTACATGCAAAGATTTATTTATTTTATCATTATTATTATTATCGTTTTTTTAGAGGTTAGTTTGACGGCCACATTGCGGCTCGAGGTAGGAACAGGAACATTTCCCCCGACACAAATGTGAGAGCGGACAGAGGCGAGGTTTTCTGCTCTGGTATTCATCAGGGCTCTGCAGCCGAGGCAGAACAGGAACTCGACACATCGGCCCACCTTCATCCTTTATCGCAACGTTGTTCCGATAAAGTGCCCCGCCGTAACCAATGGCAACACACCTCCCCCCCCCTCCCTACCTGTCACTTCCTGAGGAAGCTCCTACCTCCCTGGTTCCTTCCTGAATGAACAAGTCGGACAGAGTTCATGAATGTCGTGGCCCTCTTCAAACAAAGATCCTGGTGATAATAAATCTCGTGAAGGCAAAGAGCTCTACGCTCACCTCTTCGGCGACGTGTTATTGGTCTGTGAAATGCGGTAAATCTTTCAGCCGAATAAACTTTTGCGGTGTTTGTGAAGGTGTGACACACTGAGCGAGTGTGTGCGCACATCTCCTCACTCAGACGTCAACCGGGGGAGTAGTTTTTGTCGCAGCGGGCCCCGTAGGTAAAAACATAAATAATAATTTAAAAAAACAAACTTTAGCATATCCTCTGAACTCTTTCACATTCTCCACCATATAATAAACTTCAGTCATTTAATTTGGATGCTAATTTGTTGAAACTGTCACTATGTCATCGCAGTATTGTCTGCATCTTTTTTCACAGATGCAGATAATCTATGAAAAGAAGTTTCCTCTGCCTTCTCCCAGTGCTCCTAATTCTAGCGGCGAGTACACGAGGATGATTGACAGCGTTAATACACATTTCACATTCCGGCTTCCTGCCCATCAAATCAGATTGAGCTAAACATTTCAGCCTGCAGATGCGTAAAAGTGACAGAAACATAACTCAAAAGACTGACTGCGCACCACATTTAAGCATCAACCATCAATTTAGCTTTTACATCTTTTTCATTCATGAAGCACATTAAGAAAACAGTGCAGTATTTAATAAAAAAAAACTCTATTCACTTATGCAAGACTTTTGAACAGCACTGTTCAATAAATTCAGCGCCCGTATTTTCCTCCCCTCCCTCTGTCTCTCTGTGAAGTGAGGGGGTGGCTTAAAGGTGACAGAGGCCAGATGTTTCCTCTCTCCAGCTCTGAAGTGCTTTGTGAAGATGGAGATAGTGGAAAAGGATAAATCCACGGAGGGTTTTTTAACGAGGGAGGCCACCGTCACACGTAGGCCATGCCGTCGTCGTTCTGGCAGCCGTTCTGGAAAACACATCTCTGCATTTCCAAGTGGTGCTGCGATTACGAAACCCGAGCGTTCACCTCAAACCTAATATAACCAAAGCTGCTTGCAGCAGCCGGACCAGTGGGGGCTCGCCTGTTGCAACATGTTGGTCTGGTCAAATAAAACTTTGTTCAGTGGGCGGACATAATCCCCATGTAGACAGGCAGCTGGTAAGACTAGAGAAAGCACTCTGTCTTTTGTAAACGTTCGCATTAAGTCAAGTCATCTGGAGAATTATGTCTCATCTGTCCAATGCATCTGTCCCTCCATTTACTGACTGTTAACAGCTTGGATTGTTTCTTTGGCCCGCGGCTGTATGACTGCAAGTTTCAGCTCCGTACTGCCACCGTGTGGTTAGATTTAGTAACGATTTCAAAAACAGTCATTAAATGCATGCGCGACGGAAGGATGTGATTTTTTAAAAAAACTAAATAAAATAAAAGCAAATTAATATTCTGATTAATTTCCAATACATTAAAAGACGCTAATGAACAAATAATGGAGTCCCTTTATAAATAGGAAAATAAACATGCTATTGCATGAAAGGCAATAATATATTATTCCTTCACTGTATGCAAAGGACCTGTCCGCAAATAATTTTTAAAAAAATCAACAGTGTGATAAGCTCAACCATTTCAGTTTACAGTGCAGGGCATGAATTTTCTGGTTCTTTTTTCAATCAATCGATTAATAATTGAACAGCAAAAGGTGTTCAGTTGATTTTTTTCTGCAGGATTTGAACCAGGTGAAGCTTAAACTATACGCCACTTGACTGAGTTCTGAGTAAAACATATTTCCACGCAAAGAAAATTAGTTTTTTATCGTAACTGCGAAATGACTTTTAATTTTTTTTTTTACAGTTTTGTAAAAAAAAAAAAAACTGTGTGCGAGTCTATACTCTTGTTAACAATTAGTCAATTACCAGTTGACTATCACTTCAATAATCGATTAATCACAATCAACACGATTAATCTTTTCAGCCCTAATTAAGACACTGTAAGTCACTTTTTTGTTTTGTTTTGTTTTGCATAACCCCAAACAAGCAACAAGCCCCCTGCGGTTACAGATCTGAAGTTATGCTAACTGAAACATGCTGAGGCATCTTATTAACACTTGCTAAAGGGGAGACAACATCTGTTTCTATGCTAAATGAGCTGATCTGCTCATTTTGACCTTTTGACTGCTTATGCAGACTAAATGAAACCAGGCACAAAACTACCACAAGACGGGTGTGATATTTGTCGTGTACACGCTGTGCACTTCACTGTGTTGTGAGAACTGTCAGAAGTGTTTCCTGGAATGTGAAAATACCAAGAAACAATGAAGCTGCATGAAAAAGAAAGCAGACCCTCTCTCCCTCTTTAATTAAAATTACCCGACCTCTTGCCGGGTTGCAAAATTACTTTAATCTAACTTCATGTAAAAAAAAAAAAGAAAGTTGGATTAAGTCGCTTAGAAACTGTTTTAGAAGTTGTGACAAGTAACTTCAGATCTTTGTAAAGAGGTTTTGATCAACTCTTTGTTTGTAGCATTTCCTCAGTTCCAACAGCATTGTTGTCAGGTTGAGCGCTGGACTTTGAGCAAACATTGCAACATCTTGATTTTCTTCCTGTTTTGACCTTTCTTCTGCAGACTGGCTTCTGTACCTGAGATGACTTCCAAGTTTTCGGTTGAAACATAAGGAGATGCACTGGCATTTCTGGGTTGTTAATTTATGCACCTTATTGATTATTCTATAATGAATCAAACATCCAAGATTTGATTTATTTCATTTTCTGTCATTCCTCTTTTCCTTTTTTTTTTTTAGCAGGCATGTTTTCGTCACAATGCCCTGAACCTTTAGCCCATCAAACTTAGCCACCCTGAACGTTCAGTCTCCCCTTTGGCTGTCTGTTGTTTGCATTTCGGTCTGATTGAGATAACAACCTGATGGGTTTACAGCCACAAGGAGGAAACATATCTTTTTGATGAATTTTTTTTTCTTATTCCAGAATATTTTTAATATAGCTTTGTTTTATCATTTGCATTGCGCTTTTACATTTGTTTAGATTACATTTCCTTTAAATGTTTGCTGTGAAATGTCTCCCTTTTTGGTCCTTTTTATGTCCTTTATATTAAGAGGTTACAAACTTCTCCATAGTGTAACATTTTAAGCTTAGCATACTGCTGTTTCTGTCATTTACAGATGGATTTAAGCATCATAAAGATTACATTTTTTGTTGTGCTATTAAATGTATTGATAGTGTTGTGTGTCAGGGCTTTTTGAATCACTATAATTAATTTCAGAGAGCTGGTTTATTAGTTTGTCTGGTGAGCTCAATTAAAGGAAATCTACTTAAGAAGGATGTTCCACATTATTAAACACTCATGCAGTGCTGTGATAAAAGTTTAGTTTTTTCTTGTTTTGTCAAATTGATAATGTTTTAGGTTATCAAATAAATTTCGCAACCCGACAAATAATCTGATTAAACAAATAATGCCAATTTCAATATAGAAATATAGACGGGATATATTTCCAATATTTGCTCACATCACAAAGTAAATCTAATATATTATTATTATTTCAGTCATATCATTATGTTGCTACTTTGGAATATTAACAATTATCAGATGTTTTTTTATATTTGTCTCAATTAATTTACTTCATAACAGATGATTTTAAGTTGAATTTTATACTTGACTCCTGTAAAATCAGAAGGAAAAACATACTTACATGGACTGCATAAAGTTCAACCCTGTTCAGCTTCAGTTCTCAATAAGAGCACAAAATCATACTGTAACTGTTTGGTGAGGATTACAAAACAAATCTTGGCTTTTATTCTCCACAATACATGGATACATTAAATAGAATCTTTGCTGCAGGCAATTTTTATGCCACTTGTCGCTCCACGCTCACTCAGGCTGTGATGACAAACGACAAAAGGAGAAATTGGGAGGTTAGAAATAAAACAAGCGAAGCAAGTTATTAATTTCACAGCTTTTCCAAAAGACCAGCTCACCTTTGATGATGACTTTCGCCACGGCCTCGCTCGAACCAACGTGGTTGGTGGCCACACATTTATACGTTCCTCCGTCGCTCTGTTTAACACCGGCTATCATCAGCTTCCCCTCCCGGGTGGTTTCTGCTCCGGCCGGCAGACTGCCCCTTCCCACGCGGCTCCAGGTGAACTGGATTGGGTGAGAGCCGTGGGCGAGGCACTGTAAGACCAGAGCGCTTCCAGGCTGGAGCCGTACCTGGTCGGGCAGGCAGGTGGCGTACGGAGGAGCTGCATGTGGACGACAGCCAATAAAGGGATAGTTCAAAATCTTTGAAACGAGGGTCTTTTGAAAGGAAGGAAGTTGTGGAGGCAACTTTATCGGTGCTTTAGTTTAGGCAAAATCCAGCTAGTAGGAGAGACAACAAACAACGTTTTTACCGTCTTACTTGACCTGGCAAAGGTTTGCGTATTTCCTTCTCTGTAAAGGTTTCACACAGGAAGATCATATTGGCCACAGAGCTTCAAGCTGCCAATTTCCTGCTTATTATCTTACTTTTCAGTGCAAATGACAGGATGAAAAATTATACAAGGGCTTCAGGACATCAGAAAAAATGATGGATTATTGGTTAATATTGCACTAATTAGTCAGCTACAATAAATACTCACTTTCCTTGTTAATCTGCCTTTGCCCGTTAACATCTTGAGTAATTTATCATGTGCCTGCTCAAATGAGACTGAATCCAACAGGCCATCTTTTTGAGCGCTTATGGCACTTGCAATGTATCAGCCAATAATTATTACATTCCAAAACAGCCCTTTGTTATGTTGATGTTGTAAGAATAATATAGCCGCGATATATTCTATTGCAATCTGGATCCCTCATCAAAAGTAGCAACAGCAAGCACACACTCACTGTCCACCTCCATGTCAGTGTACGCCTCGCTGTAGCCGTGGATGTTGGTCGCGTTGCAGATGTATTGTCCCGAGTCTTGGCGCCCCACTTCGGTCAGCGTCAGGACGCCATTAGCTACCGTGTGCCTCCATGGCAGTGGTGCTCTAAGCTTGGACCAGGTGATGACAGGGGCAGGGGAGCCTGGAGGGAGGGGGGGGGGGGCAATACATTAATGATGGACTCACAAACGGTGGGGTTTTCAGAAACACAGGCTTACCTGTCGCCTTGCACTCAAAGGTGACTGTTTGTCCCTCGATTGCTGTCATCTCTTCGATGTTAACCGAAGCCACTGGTGTTCCAGGTGGACCCACCACCACGAGCTCGACCTCTGCCTCGGATTTCCCCACATTGTTGTCAGCCTGGCAGACGTACACTCCGGAGTCCTCTGGGCGCACGGAAGGCCACTGAGAAAACAGTCAAACATTTCGTTCCGCTTATCTGAAGTGTGAAAAAACGAAACAAGGTTTAGGTCTGACACCTTTTCTCTCCTTTGTATTTCACCTTTATAATGTGGGCGTCGTTTATCTCCTGGGTTACCAGCTGAAGGGTGGAGCCTCTGCGTTTCCAGGTGACCGTGGGGCGTGGCCTACCGGTGACACGACACTCCACGGCCACAGACTCTCCTGTCCTGATGTGCAGGGGTCCTGCTGGTGTCAGCTGCACTTTAGAAGGATCTAAGAGAGATATGGACGCACATAACTACACCAAACTATGAAATTTGCCAAGGGGCGACACAAAAAAACATGTATAGGTCTAAAAATTGCTTCCAAAATGAATTTCAAGTCAATCTGGCATTGGGTAAGGTCAGAGCATTCGCTACTTCAATCACTTCTTGATCTTTTCGTACCAATTTTTTGGGGGGTACAAAACTGTATTTAAGAGAAGCCATAATTAAATTTGCATCCACCACTTTGAAGTGTTTTCTAATTTAATAATTGTTCTTTAAAACCTACAGTCTACTGTGAAGACAAATTGACTTGATTCCAGTAAATATGATCTACCAGCAGGAGGGATCTTAAAGGTCTTTTGAATTTGTTCCTGGGTCTTAATCTTACTCTCTTGTATTATCAATCATAATAAGTATGAATACAAATAAATATTTATACAATGTTTTCCCATGGCAAAATGCTTTTCAAATAGATTACACATCTGATCTGAATATTTTTATAAGCATTAAACCATATACTGTGGTTTAGTGGTTTGCTTACAGAGAGGGAGCTCAATGCATAAGTAAGAAATGGGTGTAGGAAGGAGCAAACCAAAACCAAAGATGGGTCAGGCTCAATTTAACAGAGAGAGAGAGAAGTCTACATGATAATACAGTGTAAGAATACTTACAGACTATCTGCAGCTCAAGAAATCTGGCAGTAATATTTAATGACCTGTTCAGTCTTGACTGTATTGTCTCCAAAATCACATCAGACATCTAACAGAGGACATCTAACCTTTGAATGTCCTCTGTTAATTTTATTCTGCACTGTGCAGACATATGTCCTTTCTCCTTTGCAGGGCAATAGATAAAATGAGGTTGTACTGTATGTTCACAGTACATTTATTGTTTTGACTCAGGGACCACCTGCATGTAGACTGGTACAATCCCGGACAAGCCCCCAAAATTTGCTGTTTCAAAAGCATCGGTAACACAAAAGAAAAACACAGCTTTTTAAAATTTCAGCACTTAATATGAATAGTAGGATATGAAAATGATTGTTTTCAAGAGTTTGCTAATTTTATCTTTAAACAAGAACAATTGTATTGACAACTCATGAGAGTCACTGGGTGAAGATTTACAGATCACCGCCAACCTAAAATTCAACAAAAATATTTCACTAAGCTTTAGTCAGTTCCAAATTATGCATGGATGTAATCTTTTTCCAAGAACATTGTGCAGTACAAAACAACATAAAAAAACTTGGCTACTTACATATTAATCAATATTTGTTAAATATTGATTAAATGGAGGTTGGCTTCTTAGAAAATGTAGCTTCTCTTCCTACTTTATCTTATTTTAGGTGGATCTCATTTTCCAAATCTGAAGTTTAAGGACAAAACTCACATTTGACATTCAGCACAGCGTTGGCAAAGCTGCGTCCAGCGGCGCTGATGGCCACACAGCGGTACTGGCCGTGGTTTCCAGGTTGAGCGTTTGCAACCGTCAGCACAGACCCATCTGGACCAATCTTTATATTGTCTGTATGGGAAAAAAGACATTTCAGAGAATATTTGCAGGTATCATTATTATAATTTTTTACAAAACAAGCAGTTTTATGAGTAATTGCTCCTGACCTGGCAAGGCCTGATTATTGGCTCTTCTCCACTCCAGCTGAACCGGTTGGACATTGCTCTTCACCTGGCACCTGTAGCTGACAGACTCTCCCTGGCGGATGATTGCGGTCCGAGGCTCCACGGTAACGACTGGAGCCTGAGCTGCCACTGACGACAGGTACACAGAGGGACAGGAGTGTCACATGTGAGGACAAACACAAGTATGAATCAACAGGCCCGGAGTGACGCTAGGAGTAAACAAATAACCACCCTAAAGCAAATATATCATGATGTCTGTGGTGACAAAGTAGAAGTTTAAACCAAATAAAATGTCAGTAACAGCGCATTACTAACTTTGTTTCATCTGATTTTGAAATGCCTGTCTCCAGATCAGTTTAAAAGGGAAGTAGCAAACCTCTATGGACTGTAAAAAGAAACATGTAGTTTTAATCATATTGTTTCCCCCCGCCCCCTCTTTTTCTATAATGTTTTGCTCTTTGTTGTCTGTGTAAAATATGTTGCAATGCACTAAAATACAATTGGGACACCCCCTAAAGTGGTTAAAATGATCTCTTTTTGCGTAGTTTGAATCTGAACCTGTGAAAAGTATGGTTTTGTTTCAACTAAGATATCCGGTAAACAAGTACAAGTAAAGGACAGGAACCTTTGTAAGGCCTGTGATAAAATAAGAGGAATATATTTTTTTCTCTCTCTGAATAAAAACCGAGTTCTTACCTGAGCATATCAGGGAGCAGAAGATCAGAGCTGCAGCATGTGAACCCATGATGAGCAAAAAGCAGTTGCACTGTCTCTGCTCTGCACTACTTTCTCTGTTATCACTTTTGGCCTTTAACCCGTCCCCTGTGCTGACCCCTTTTCCAAATATTGTCTGTGGGTGCCAGTCACGTATTTAAAAGCTGCTTATTATATATCCTGTCTGTTTTTGAGCTAATGATTGTCTGATTTCCTTTTTATCCGAATGAGTCTATCTGAACATTGAGCTTGTCAAGTTTTATAAACACTTTACACAAGTAAGCTTGTGAATGCAAAATAAATAAATAAATAAATAAAAAATAAAAAAGCTATTTGTATCTTGAAAGTTAACATTTCCCCTCAAAAATAAATGCAAATAAAATAGTTTTGTTGCATTGATATTTGGCATGTATTAATATTTAACATTCCAATTCTTTCTTTCCTTAAAGTATTTTTATTTAGACGTCTAAAATGTTCGTTCGAGACAGATGAAAACCTGGAGGTTAAATTTTAACACCCACAAGAGTTGTGACATTTGTCATTTCCAGAAAAAAGTTTAATTTGTGTTTTGTTTGTAGTTCTGACAAATTACATGACAAATCAGCGTGCCAAATTAAAGCGAATACAATATGTAATGTAAAATATATTTTTCTTACTTGTGTAAACACCGGCTATGAAATTATATTTTCGCCTTTTGTCAAAACTGTGTGCCGCGGTGACAAAAATGCTGCTGCTGCCACCTTGCGGTTCACTTCGCAAAAGCGCTCTCCCGTCATGACGTAATGCCCCGGGGCCTGACGGGAGCTGTAGTTGGAATGACTTGAGAACTTCCTGCTTCCACGACTGCGACCGAGATATTTCGGCTAGTAGCTGAGAAGTTCTTTATTCTCCATATAAGCCGCCGAAAAAATATAAAGGGATTCACAAACAAGGTAAGCGTCTCGACCTTTGTTGCTTGTATGTCACTTTATAAAACAAGCAGCTTTTTTTTTTGCCTTTTTGAGCAGGAAACAACCAGGTTTCCCAGCTGAACTGTCGAGTGTGAAGTCAATTCAGCGTGTACTGTTTAAATTAGTTTTTTGTCTGGATAAATTTGGAAATGTGACACATAGCATTACTACGTGACTTTACTGGGTAATGTTGAGGATAAGATTGATGTGAAAGCGACTGGTTGTCTTTAGAGTTACGTAAAGAAAGAGTTAATGTACCTGAATCTGACGTGTTGTTGTTGTTCCTTGAAGGCAACACAATCAGAGTATGTTGATTCTCTGATTCAACATACTCTGAATGTTTGATTTTTTTTATTTGGAAAAAAAAAATCAAACAGTTGATTAATTAAATTTTAGTACAGTTATATGTTTTTATATGTAGTTTTTTTTAAAGCTCGTTTCTTTACGTTTTCAAATTACATGCAAATTTATGAATAAATCTTGTGTTGAGAAGCAAACTGGCCATCTCCAAATCAATTCATTCCATTTTGAAAGCAAATTTAAACTAAGTATAAAAGAGCTTCAAAGACGTATGTAAATGTATGTAGAGTGTATGTAGAATGTAGATCTGATTAATTGAAATGCATCTTGATGTAAGGAAGACCAGAGAAATAGATAGGCATTAAAAATGTACGTTTACCCTAAATACATTTATATAAAATACAAAGTTATGTTTATTTCAGAAACTAGAACTGCCAATAATGAAAACCAGACAACAAATGCTTTCACCGTTGATTTAAAGGAACTCTGTGTTTCAGCATCTTTGCAGTTTTCTGGATATTTGTTCCAGATTTGTGGAGCACAGAAACTGAATGCTGATCTTCAGGAACACAGCTGAAAATGCTCAGACTGTGAGAAGAGAATGAGCAAAGAATCAAACACAGTTCAAAAAAAAACCCCACACATCTCTCTAGCAGCTGTATTTTGTAGACCTTAAGAAAACCAGGAAGCGCAGCATTGCTGTCTGCACTACATCAGCGTCAGTACTGCGTGTTCTAGAAGCATTATTAAAGTCTCTGCTTTGGACTCAAGGAGAAAAGCCACTTCCTTTTGCTGTCAGACATTTCTTTCACTGAATAGCTTCTTTCTGTTTGGCATTGTCTGCTGAGAACTCTTGCAGACTGAATGAGATCTGGTTGTCTGAAACAATGGACTCTCCTGACCTGAGCGATTTCCCACTCACTGTCACATGAACATAAACAATACGCTTTCTCAGTGCCAAAACGTCAGGAAGTCACTGCAAAGGGGATATGAACACCAATCCATTGCTAGACCAGAAAGTGTTGTTATTTATCTGTAAGTTTCTGCAGTTTTAAGGGTGCTTATGTAGCCGGATCCTTTCTGCTTTGTGCCGGTTGTATAAAGTGATCAGGCCGTGACAAGGCTTGTCTTTAAAAAGGATGGCTTCTCCATTTATTCTGGCGAGAACAAACAGAAAACAACCGTGACATAGGCTGCCCGCTCCAAGCCCTACACAAAACAGAAATACATAACAGAAATTGACTTAATAGATCAATAAATAAACTGGATGTATTTAAATAAAAAATAAATAGTGCACACCTCTCTCGCAGGACAACATGACAAAAGGGGAGGATCTAAAGGGCGCAAACAATTTAAAGACAGTACCACAGAAGAAGAAATAAAAAGGCGGGGCTGCCGCTCTTAAAGTAACACAATTAAAACAATGATAGTTTTTTTTAGAGGTGTTTCAGTCAGGTAAGAAACAATACAAATAACCAAAAAAAGAGGCATTTTGTGTGATTATAACAAAAGAGAAATAAAACAGGTTACATTGAGTGTTTTAAGTTAATTAAAGACACAGTTTTTCCTTTTGTTGTTTCTGTCACAGATGTCCTTGATGGAGTCGGGAAAAGTCCTGCCTTTGACGGCGGTGGCTTGGACATCCAACATCGGCTGCTGCCCCAAAGATTTCACCCTGGTAGGAAACGGAAATTTGATGCGCAGCATCGACTGGCCTTATTGCTTCGTTATAATTAGACTCAGAAAGAAATATTTTTAATTAGTTTGGCTGGAGAACCGGTCAGTGAGTGACAATAAGCTCAATACTGTAAGGTTAGAATGATTTAAAAAAAAACGACATTCATCTCTCGGTTCTGGATTTAAAGTTACACAGAAAATACTGCATGTATGTTTGTGGCTTTAGCAACCAGCTACATGGTAAAAACATTCTCTTCTTGTGCAATTTTCTTCATGTTCTCCACTCCCTGCAGATCAGCATCACAGAAGACGGAGCGGCGGCGAACTTCACGCGCGGCTTTGGCATGAAGTCCGGATATTACCTCTGTTTCAGCAAGGTGACTCGCAGAGAGACGTTTACTGCATTTAACAAATGTTTCAGGTCACACCACTCTGTGGTCTTTTCTGCTCCATGTCTGAACTGTATTGCTCTCCTTTTAGGACCAGAAAGGCAGTGTGGTGGTTTCAGACATTCAGGTCATCTCGGACAAAGACGCCATTCCCCACGGCTACAGCTACATTCGAGAGTTCCTCGATTCAAGTGCGTACAGGCCTGCTCAGGTCTGGAATGTTGATGCGTTTCTGTTTTTGCTGCGTTCTTGACAAGCATTTTGTGTGACGCTTTGTGTTCAGAGACCTCCGTGTCTAAGAAGAAGCGGGTGGTTGTTCGCACGTCCCCGGTGGCCAACGTAGAAACGGCTGTGTTGGACATCAAACTGACAGCCAAAAGCAAAATGCTGCTGCAGCACTACACTTACGTGGGGTTAGTAGCATCCAAACCGGCAGCTCTTCATCTTCAATCCTCATGAAAAAGTGTTTTTGGACATATCTTCCTGTATTTAAAGTGAAACGCTTGCAGATTTGTTACACACACAGTGATACATTTCAGGTGGTTGTTTTGATGAGACCAGCTGTTTAGAGAATCTCATGTTTCAAGAGGGAAATCAGAGACATAAAACCCAAGAAGCAGGCCGAGAACCTCCGCGCCATCATTGAAGCAATAAATCATCATCGCCAAACACACACCATTACTAAAATAACTTTTTAACTTTTCATAAGCACGCTTTTAACTTGTCAATGACAATCTGTGCAGCGACATCAACGGCTACGTGCTGTGGTGCAGGAAGGGTCATTTCTCCGGCCCCGCCCCCAAAGCTAAACCTCGTAGCATCAGCTTGGAGATGCGCAGTCTCTCTCTGGAGGAACCGTCCGCTCCGGCTCTTCCTGTCCGGCACAGGTAGGCATCCAGAGCGAGACGCGGAGACGTTATGCAGGTTGGATGCCGCATGGGTCAACGTTTGGTTGTCGCTGCAGGAACCTTCCTCCAATACCGCAGCAAAGCCGGCTGAGTAATCGCCGGTACAGCCTGCAGGTCGGGGACGTCCAGAACACATCTGCTGACAACAGTCTTCAGGCAATTACAGGTGATGATGCAACAGTTTTTTTTAACAGTTCCCTAATTAAAATGTTTTGTTTTGGATAATCGGATCGACTGGAATGATGAATGTTCACATCTGCCAGTGAAATGTGTCCTGACTCATCAGGGTTTCTTTTACAGGTTCATCAAAAATTTATATCTCTGGCTGTGTTTGTCACCTCTTGGAGACAGTTGACTACTTCATTCGTTGATGATTATTCCAGTTAATTGTTTCAGCCCTAACTTTGTGTGAAAAATAAAGAAAATAAGAGCTGAGAATTTTACTGCAGCCAATTAGTTTTCTGTCATTTTGGTTCAGTCACTGTATTTCTTGGGGATGTGCCCAACAACAACGGGGGGAACCGATTCAGAAATGTTTTGTAAGTTGCTGTTATCGTTTTTTAATTAATTAGGATCCAAATTTCTGATCTTTTTCTGCAGCTTTAGACGGCGTTCCCTTCAGCCTGCACCCAGATTTCGATTTGCCAGCAAATGGAACGGTAAGGTTGTTCTATTTTGTTTGATTGTTTAATAATGTTTAATGTTTTTGACATTGAATTGCGTATTATTTGTCTTTTCCATGCTTCTCTTAGGCTCTCCAGTTGAATTCCCAACTAAACAACATCCGCATAAAGTCTGTGAAAGACATTGAAAATGAGGTAGGTTCAACTGGGATCCTTGGATTTAAATCACACGTCCTCAAGCTGCAATTAAAAATTAAAAACACGCTCCTTTGTTTCTTGGCTTTTCAGTACAGCTACACGTTTACGGTGGAGGAATCCGCTGCCAAGAGGATCCGACCGTCGGTCTCAACATAAACTGTTCAGTGATCGTTACGATCCCACTGTATCGATCAACTGTTTCTGTTACTTTACCTTTCCACGGGGTTTTCCAAGGTAACAGCTTTCTAGACGGTGGAAATCAAGAATAATCATGTTCATATACTAGATTCCTTTGTTGAATCTACCATTCAGGAAACCTAAAAGCCATTTATTTGTATGATAACCATGTAAAATGGAGGATTTGTAGAATTCGGTTTGCTCCAGGAAACTCCTGGTTGTTTCTCTTCACAGGGATAAAGGTGTAATTAATTTTATAAATCTCTGTATCTGCTACTTTGAATTGAACATATGTTGCATCAAACCCAAGGTTTATTTGGTTTTACTTGTAGATTTTAAATATATAGTATTTGTATCCTAAAAAGGAAATGCACTTTGCCGCAACAGATGTTTTTTCATGCTCTTTTCTGTTTCCTGAGACATTTCTCTGTTCTATCGCTTTAATATGTTTTTTCAGGATTTCTACAGAGCTTTAAGCCTCGTTGAAGGAGCTAACTCCATTGTTACACTAACATAGTCTGGTTTTCTTGAAAGAAAAGCAAACTTCTGTTGATACCTATTGATTTTATATGTGCTTTTGTACAATAAGACGTTGGCATTTTTTGTTAGGACCAAATATTTGTCGTTGAATTGTATTTTTTCTTAGCTTTACAGTAAACTCTTACAGATTGAAAAATAAAGACCTGCAAAAAATAACTTTTGCATGTCAATTTGAAATTTATTTTCTTAAATATAAAGAGGTGTGCTCTTTACATAAAGAAAGACTTTGCAGAAATTTGAAACTGCCAATGATTTCCTTATATGTTGCTTTAAAATAGAAAATTTTAATTAGAACGTAATTAGTGGTTTTGATGAATAGCTCTGCAATTTTTTTCATTAAACTTTTCAGTCCAGCCCTGGTACCAGACCAAGCAGGCATACTATTAGGAGAGGTGCTTTCTCCTTTTTTAAGAAAGTAACCAATGTTAAAGTCTTACTTTTTGAAAACAAAACTTATTTCCAGGTGGACTCACAACTGTGGCACAATATTGTATTGGGAAAGCTGTAGTTTCTGCCTCGTCAGACATAAATAATGCTCGAGACGCTTAATGCAGACTTTAAGCATCTGTTAAATTGGAAACAGGACTTGATTCAAAGGTGAATCGAGTTCATTTTAACAAATTTAGGGTGTTTCATAAAGCTAAAAGTCAGTTCTGAATTTGTTCACAACAATCGTTGAACACTTGAAAACGGAGGTCAAATTCGTGCCCAATAAAGCGCAGCCTGATTGTATGAAAATATTTCTGTGAAGTACTGCCACCTGCTGGACCAAACGGGGAATATTCACATTTTCTACCTCCAGTCTTCAATACCTCATGGTGCCTTTGTGAAAACGCTATGTAAAGGTAAATGTCTCCCTTAAGAAGGTAAATTAAATTTATTCCCACGTTGGACTTTGCTGGCTCAGTTTTACACTTCTAAGATGATAACCTGAAATAATGTCTTCAGATTTAAATGACGTGTGTGCAAATCTCACCATCAGATTGACATTATCAACTTAACATTGAGTCCAAATTAAGTTTTGGTATTAGTGCAGTTGTCTTTTTTTTCTCTAATAATATAAAGTAATGACATCATGAAGACAGTCGTGGCTGTTTCCACAAGCTTATCATTGGTCTTTTTAAAGTTTCTGATTCCTTTAGGCAAACTAAGTAAGTCGAACTTTTTTATAGAGCACCTTCACGAGACACAGTCACAAAACTTTGTAAAATAATTTTGACTATTTTAACTGAAAATAAATTACAATTAGTAGTTTTAGTAAAGGAAAACTGATTCTGAATAAAACTATAACAGACAAGCCTAGTACAATAAAAAATTAAATGGTTTTTAAGAGACAACAAAACAGCCTTACAAATATCCAGACCAATATAGTTGCTCTTAGTTTTCTGTCAAATAAAGGTCATTTACATTTTTTTAGACCCCTACAAATTTACTAAAATAATACAAAGGGAGAAAAAACACCTAAAGATCAAAAGTTTGATTATATATCAATTTTATATAAAAACTATCGTTATCAGTATCGGTATTGGCGATACGGACTCTCTATTTACTTGGGATCGATACCTCATCTCTAAATGCCGGAAGTCACTGAGCTATTCAAGGCAGCGGGTATGTTTCTGGATCCTTTCCCAGATTTATGCCTCACAACAATCCAGTCTCGGATGTTTACAGAGCGATCTTTCATATCACGCTTGGCGTTTCAAGGCTGTGAATAGTTAAGCAAATATATTTTCCTGGTTTTCTGTTTTTGATAAATTTCAAAAACACTCAAAAAGATGGAACACAACAAAGTACTTAAATATATATATATATATGTAGTGTTTTCCCTTTGTTCTCCGGGCTTTCTTTGTCCCGCAGACGGTTTCCCAGTTGTCTCCTGCAGTTCTAATCGGTGCTGTTTGTTCAGTCGTGGCTAATTTGCAGAACTGCAGTCTCTGCTGCAGAGCTTCAACAACAGAGCCCTGCTTGTTCGGTTTTCCGGAAAACCAGCTCTGATTCCAACCAGCTGTTTCCCGCCTCACACAGATCAGCTGCACACACACACACACACACACACACACGGAGCCGTAGTAGGCGGAGGCTGGAAGGCAACACACACACACACACGCTGGAGGGAACCCCATCAGCTGTGGAAAGAAACACAGCTCGATTTTACTTTTCGCTTATTCCTTTTCTCCTCCTCAGATTGAATTTTAGAGCGGGGTTTCAGGGTCTCCGCCTTTGCGGGTTCTGCGATACTAGCGGAAAACGCAGCACTTGAACGAGAGCACACGAGTGGGAAGGGGAAGAAAACAGCAAACACGAACTCCAGAAGGTGGCTTTGAAAGCATGGACTATGTCAGGATGCCGACAGAGAAGATAACGTCCCTGCAGCACTTCAAGCGGACGGAGAAGGATGTTATCGGCGGACTCTGCAGGTATGTAAACCGCGTAATAACAATTTGTGGCGCAGCCGTACCATGTGCGTGACGGGTTTTTCGAGTGGCCGTAGCGTGTGTGTATGTGTGTGTGGTGCAGCGGGGACTTCGGGTAGCATGCTAGCTGTTAGCTACTGGCAGCTGGAATGTGCTTGGAGAAACGAGCCGTTTTTGTCACATTCGTGCCTGCTCGGAACTATGCTATGTTATTCTAAATTTAGCCTGTGTTACATGCGTTATTTATGTAGGCGGAAGTGTGTAGATGGGATCTCTGCGAGACAGCGAGATGGAGCGAATACACTCATGTCCAGATGGACGCCAACCACGTGGTAGTTAACATGATCGCCGCTGCCGCACCAAATCATGTTTCAAATCACTATAGTTTATTAAAACCCGGCTGGTTTCCACTGAGCACCATTAGTAACCACTTTATGAATGGGTGTATACCGTTTGGGCTCGTTCAGCAAGTTTTCGGCTTCGGTATTTGTGTGTTTAAACAGCTGCTCCCTGTAGCGGGCGACGTTGTCATGTGCTAAAATTAGCTTAGCTTGGTTAGCAAGTCATACGTCGCTGCGCACTTTGGTAGCAACCGTGTGGACCGTGATTGGGTTTCTTTAAATCCGTGTTCACGATATATTTATTATTTAAATAAGTCGCTCAACAAAAGCTAGGGTACCCACATGGGTATATTTGCCTCTAACTGATAGCAGACAAAGCGTTAGCTCAATGCTAATGGCGTACAGCATTGTTCTCGGTGCCAGGGGGCCTGCTGCTTCTGCAGGTGGTGTCACATTTCACTAACCGCTACCGTTGGAAGACGCGCCCCCTAGCGGTAGAAATGAAAGGAAGCGCATTTCTCCAGAATGTGACATCATTCTACAGCTGGCTTGTTTTTAATCTCTTTTCTGAGATTGATTTCAACAAAGCTGTGCGTTTTTCTAGTTATCCTGAACTGAACATGCTTTGTTTATATTAGGAAACATTACATGAATAAACTGTCAATAATTTATTCATTGATGTAATTCTGGCAACATTGCCAATTTTTAACAAAATGTAGGTGTTGCCATAAAGTGTTGGCACAATATGTGAGTCTTATCCCTTCGTGGTTGGAGTAAATCTCATTTAATTGACCTGGAACTGTTTTCTTTAGGCCCGAGCAGCAAAGTGCTGGGAAAGCCTATTGTTTTTGCATTTGTTACTGTAAAATATTCCCAAGTTTATTTTTGTTACACAAGTCAGCCATGTTAGGTTTTAAGGTCAAGGTTGGTAAGAAACCAATTCCTTTTCCACATAGAACTTCAAAAATCCAATATTTACTGTTTCAAACGTCATTCAGGGTGATGGTACTTGGCAATTTTATTCTAAAACGACTGAGAAAATGTATGTCGAGTATTAATTTTTACTGATTATTTTTACAGGTATTTGAAAACAATGAACCAACAAATTATGGATGGTTCAAAAAAAAAAAATGCCAAAAGAAACTTAAGCAAGCTTCTGTTGCACAAGAAATCAGAAATTAAACAAAAATGCAATTTGGAGCTTTAAATCCCAGGGAATAAAATAAACCTCAAGGGTACAAATATATATAAAAAAAAAAAAGCTTATTAAAAGTGTTGTACACAGAAATTCTCCGGTGAGGAGAGTCTCTTTAATCAGACAGCAGATCGCGGCTGCTTAACTTCGCCCGCGAGCTTCTACGGCCACGTGAGCCGTGTCGCTTTCTGACTTTCCGACTTCAACTTTGCAGATCCGGTTCTTCAGGTTTGTTGTGACCGTTTATGTCGTTAGTGGTGCCCCCGCCCCCTCACAGTAACTAAGAGGGAGGCTTTTTACCAGCACGCCTCCCGGCGCTTTGAGCTCGAGAGGGGCAGCAAGTTCAGCCAAACCCGTGACCTCTGGAGCCAGATGTCATCAAAGCTATAAGTTAAAGGTTCGAAGCGTCACATTCAGACTAAGTTTATTGGTCCTCTTTCGTAGTTGTTTTGTTTTTTTAAGGTAAAACTAATGCATAAATTGTAATATGTATCAAAACTTATTTCCCCTCTTTGTTTTGACGTTTTTTTCCACTTAAAAATATATTTGAACCCTTTTTTAGGCTTACGTTGAAAGGAGATGAAACAAGACATCAGTTTTAGGACTTGTATGGTTTTAATTTGGCCACACTACATCAACAAACATGAGTGTATTAGTTTGTAATCACAGATTCAGCTCCATCTTCATATTCCGTCTTCCCACCAGCTGCCCAGCTGAGCTCTAAAGAAAAGTCTGGTCAAGTTGATTGTCGGTGGGACATTTCAGCAACAGTTCAAAGTGTTTTGCCTCATAAGAACATAATTCACGAGACATCACCTTTTGACAAACGGTATCATCAAAATCATCAAGCAAACATGCAACAAATATGTTGATCGATGTTCCATGGAGGAGTTTTCTATGTCTTGCTGCTGGGACATTAGTTCTGTCTTTATGTGACACTGGAGGCTCAGGTCGGAGTTCATCCCCACAGCCAGAGTTTGTAGCTGTGACAAGTGAAGCTGTGCGCTGACTCTGTAGGTCCAAAGATGAAAACAACAAGTGCTGAAGGTGTGCAGATGTGGATAAGTAAGACGTTTTGTCTCTTCACGGGAGAACGTTTTTAATTCTCCTTCCCATGTCTTTCAGCCTGGCGAACATCCCCCTCAGTCCTGAGACGGCCCAGGACCAGGAGAGACGGATCCGTCGGGAAATCGCCAACAGCAACGAGCGGCGGCGTATGCAGAGCATCAACGCTGGATTTCAGTCCCTCAAAACACTCCTGCCACACACAGATGGGGAGAAGCTCAGCAAGGTATGTTCTCTTGCACAATAATAAGCAAATCCAGGTTTTTAAAGTCTCTTTTTATTCCTTTTGCACTGACCCTATATAAAGTTTCCCAACTGATTTGAGCTGCTGGTTTCTCCTCTTGCTAGGCCGCCATCCTTCAACAAACGGCGGACTACATCTTTAGCTTGGAGCAGGAGAAAACCCAGCTGCTAACCCAGAACAACCAGCTCAAACGCTTCATTCAGGTTAGAACGCTAATTGTAGATTTTTGCATGTGACCGGAAACATTGCCTCTAGTTTCATTGGTTTTATACCTCCGTCCTCAGTGTTGTTGTATTTTTGCCTCTTTGACATTTCCTGCATATGGAGTTTCCATGTACATATTTGCTGTGTTGCTACATTAGCATTAAGATTGATATTCTGCGATGTTGAGTCATTTTCTAACATGCTAATATCCAACCAATAAGTAAAACTGGGCCAGTGTTAATAATAAGGGTCAGGGTGGCCGCGCATCCTTAAAAAGTTAAAATCGTGCATCTAAAATGAAGGCCGTAATGTCTTGAACTCACCAGACACCACTGACTAGTCAGACGAGAACTAGTTTGACAAAAATGTCGTCCTGTATTTCACCTTGAAAGCAGGTGTTTGTAACGCCCGAGAGGCATGCGGTGAGGTGTGTTTCATAGCTGGAGGTGTTGTTTTGTTTTGTTGTTTTGGGTTTTTCTTGGTTACTTAGTTCTTGCCTTGCTGATGCACCTTCAGCTCATTTGAACTCTTTTATTCTGCCTCCAAGCAGAGTTCTGGCTCGACTCGGTTGGGAATTGCGCGCTCACAATGCCGCGTTTCGTTTCCTGCAGGAGTTCAGCGGCTCCTCGCCCAAAAGGAGGCGAGCCGAGGAGAAGGACGAGGGCATCGGGTCTCCGGACACGCTGGAGGAGGAGAAGGTGGAGGAGCTGAGGAGGGAGATGATCGAGCTGCGGCAGCAGCTGGACAAGGAGCGCTCGGCTCGCATGCAGCTGGAGGAGCAGGTGATCTCAGCTGTGCGTTTAATCATTATAAACTCTTCCCCACGTATTTGAACGCTTGATGTTGAGCCAATAGGGCCCTTAAGCCGCGCTTCAGGAGAGCAAACACGCAAACACAATGCTGATTGTGGCGCCGACACATTTATCAGCCCAGCAGCCAGGTCCTGATTGGGTCACATCCTGGATCTACCTGAATAGCAGGTGCTGCACACAAGCAGAAACTCGAACAAGAGGGGGAGGGTAAACACCGAGCGCAATTATAGACACAGCTGACTCAACCAGACCGCGAAGTTGGAGGAGTCGCCAGCATCTTGAGAAATCGTTTGATCTCTTTAAAGCGATCTTATTTTGTCACAGGTCCAAAGCGTTTCTGCCTTTCTTGGGTTTTTACGCCATAATTTTCGATCACCTGTGTGTATACTTTAACGTAAGGTTCCTCCCGAGTATGTGAAGCTCAGAGCAGCTTCCAAATGTTTAACTGTGTTTTAAATTAGGGGTTGTCCTGATCTAACATAGACGTCAGAAAGTTGTTTGATATAAGCATGCATCTTTAACTTAATTACGTGTGATTTTAATTGTATTTCTTATTTGATAGAAAAACCTGTTTTGCGGAATATTGCAATAGTTCTGCAGACGTTTGCAGCGGGAACACTAGGGAAAACGTCTCGTTAATAAAATTTAACATTTACTGTAGAAGTGTCTGGAGGCTCCAAGCTAGCTCTCTGGGTGCTTTTATAGAGCCAGTAAAGAACTAAATTTAGTTCAACTCTATTGGAAAAACCTTAAATTAGAAGTCCCCCCTTCTTTTCCTGTAATTAATGCGTGTTGTGGGTTGAATACTGTGCGGTCACGAATACTCCACACCCCTCTTACCCCTCTTGTGAGGACGAGCTCTGACCGGATTGGTACCTGCTCGCAGGTGCGGTCTCTGGACGGCCAGCTACACCCAGAGCGTCTGAAGGTGATCACCCAGCAGGTGGAGGAGGAGCAAGCCCTCATCCAGAGCCAGACGCTGCTGCGGCTACAGCAGATCCACGCCGCCGCCGACAGACAAACACACAGTCCTCAGGTAAGAAACGCTCGTCTCTCCCGGCGGTGCCTGTGCTCCAGCTCGATGAGAATCATTGGGGGGGGGATAAGACCTGGACTTTGGTTTCAATTTGATCTTCTGTCTTTCAGGTGCTGGCTCCGCCCACTCCGCCTGCCCCAACCCACCACCCCACTGTCATCGTCCCAGCCCCAACACTAAACCAACACCATCACGTCACTGTGGTGACCATGAGCCCATCTGTCCACACCAGCACCGTGTCCACTTCCAGACAGAACCTGGACACCATTGTGCAGGTTGGAGCTTGTTCTAATGCGCGCCAACGCTAAAGCGCCAACTATAAGCATCGGTTCCGCCGCAGGACTAACAATAGGCATTAGTTGTTGCTAAAACACTAACTACAAACAGCTCTAAAGCACTGGCTCTAAAAAAAAAACGTTCCTGTTTTTTGCTCATCCCCTCCCAGGCCATCCAGCACATCGAGCGCACCCAGGAGAGAAGAGGCAGCTCCGAGGACGAGCAGAGGAGAGCGGTCATCGTCAGCCCCACCCACGTCGCCATGGACACCGCCTGCTCGGACACGGACACGGACACGGAGGGTGAAGACTGTTTGATGAACTGACCCGCCCCCCACCCTGAACTCCTGCCGAACCCCGTCCCTCCAACACGCACACAAACACTTAAGACACCCCACTCACTGTAAGATTCCCTCCAGGAGCTTGACTACTCATGTTAATCTGTCTTTGGCATTACCTAAACTCCTAAATCCAGTGGTTTAAGCTCTGCGTCAAGTTTTGTACTGTAATTTTTCGGAGTATAGAAGAGGTGCAGGATCTGTTGGGTCTCTGCAGCTACTTGAATAATCAAACGGTCTACTTGTAGACAAAAAAGGCTGTTGGCCCCCTGATGTTTCTCGTTTGTGCGTGCTCTCCACATAGTCCCGGAATCATCGTCGCCCTCTTTCTGTCACTCCTGACAGTGCAGCTACATCTACTGGAGTCAGTTTATCAGAAGGATGAATGTAACGACACAATAAGCAAGGAGATCCTTATTCCCATGTTTTCTGTTTTTCGTATATTTCTGGTGGCTGTCAAATCTTAAGCTATTTAATACTAAATTTTGAAATTTGAACCAACACATAAAATCTTACTTGAAGAAAAGAAAAAAAAAAAAAGCTGTTTTTAAACTCTAAATAAGCCCTTAGGAATAAGCTGAATTCCTTCTCTGGTCTTTCAGTTTAGATGTTTTATATATAACATTGTTAAGTGTCAGGGTCGCCAATCGTTGAAGGTTTTGTCCTAATTTAAAATTAGTCGACTTTTTTTTTTCTTTTTTCGTTTTTTTTATTTGCTTGTTTTGTTTGTTCTTAAAAGGAGGGAGGAGAAAAACGCACCATTACGTTTTTAACTTAATGTCGGCTTGTTGCATGAAAAACATTCAGGTGCCGCATTTTTGTAAATAAGCGATCAACCCGAGACGGTTTGACTGAATCAGACTCTCTGGAATCTACAAATATTTCCATCGAAGTTCTGAAACAGATGGGCATGAATCATGTTTCCAGCATTTCCCCCTAAGGGCCTGAATCCACCATCTGGTCTTGGTGACTATGCACTTGAGATGTTGGGATTTATGCAATTCCATCTTTTGTACACTTGTTCCTTTTTTTTTTTTTTTTGTATTTCGTTGTCGCTATCATTTAAACATAGGTTGAAGTTCTCTATGCACCGTGTATGAAACTTGACGTGTTTAAATGGAAGAATGTAGTACTTAAGAGGTGCTTGTTTTAGTCGTCACCGATCTGCAGGGGCGCAACGAGCCGAGGCCAAAAGTACCTGCAATAAGTCACCTTCAGTCAGATATTAAGTTGAACTCGACAACACAGGAATTAAATTTCTGGTGTCCTTTCTTACAAAACAAAAAACAATCCCACAAAGCAAAGTTTAACCAGCAATAGATTCTCATGGTTTGAGTAAAAATACAACGGTGTCACAGTTTGTACAGAAAACAGAATAGCAACAGCTATCCCTGCTGGTGACGTGCAAAATTAGACTTTTTTTATTTTTTTTTTTTTTTTTTTAACCCAAAATAAGCCTGTAGTATAGGAGCCTTCTTTAAGCCAGCTGTCCAGCAGAGCACAGCATCAGGTGTGCTCTGCCTGCGTATTTTTATTATTATTATTTTACACATAGCGTGGCTATAGAAGACAACTTTATTTACAGTCATATCCGGCAACTTCATCGACCGTGGAGGCACCAGGCACGGACCAGTTTGTTTTGGTAGAAACTGCTTTATGAGCTTCTGTTCTGAACAGCAGCAAGTTATTCCAGCAGCTGCTAAGATGATATATTTATCCGTTATACTTGCGATGAATAACTTGCTTGTGTCTTTTGGGGTTAGGGAGTATTTCCGAATGCAGAGGTTTGTTGGTGATGCAAGCAAGACGAAAGGGAGCGATTCCCATTTTCATCCCGAGAAAACTCCAGTACTTAGCTTGGCAACTTATTAATAATACATCTAAAGCACAAAAAAAAATGTTCTTGCTTTTAGACGGTAACGCCTCAAACGTCGATATTCCTCCCAACGGATGACCATGCCTGGCGCCTCCATTTTCTGAAGTTATTGCTTCAAGAAAACAAGGAGTCGGAGTGTTTTTCTTCCCCCCTAACGTACAAACACGCACTGTAACGCTTTGATGAATTTAGGGAAACAAATCGATTGACAAAGGAGACAAATTCCATGGCTTTTAGCGGGAAAACCGAAGCCCGGGCATCAGACACACTAACAGCGAAGTTTTTGACGTCGAAAAGTTGAAGAGAAGTGCAGATGTGCCGCTCGTAATCTCCCTTGCCCCCCGCGCAGCCCCGCTTTCTGTTTGAAATGCCCCCGCAGCCCCTGTGCGCCTCATGTTACTTTGCTCGTGTTTCTGCTGGGACTCTGACTGGAACCCCCCACCCCGAGCTGCAGCGCCTCTCTCCTGTCACACTCGATTCGAGTCGCTGATTTGATGCTGTAAACATTCCTTCTTTTGGATTCGTTTCTGTCTATTGATGTTGTGTGTTCTTTTGCCAACCAAATGCATCTTATTTTCATTTTCTTGTCTTAAAGTAGTTTTTGTTATGACTTTTTTATATATATTTTTTTTTGCATTCTGTGACACTGTTTTGTGTGGGATGTTTGGGTTTTGTTCATTCACTCATCAGCTGGTTAGAGTAGTATTTTCAAGCCAAACATGGGTGGGAAGATGGGGAGGGAGGGGATTTTATATTGTTTGTGAAGCTTTGTTGAAGGGTTTAGCGTTGCGCTGATCTTAGTTGATCCACAGCCTAAATCTCAGGCTGTGGTTATCAGTCGGAAAACCGTTTCACCCCTTCATGTTTCTGTACATTTTGTTGACAGCGCAGCTGTCCTTTTGATGAATTTTTTTATATATATATACATATATATATATATATATATGAAGCACTTGTTCTGTACTGCCTAAATCATTTTTTTGTTTCCTTTTTTGCTGCCTTTCGTTTTCTAAGCCGTTTGTTTTCCGTGATGCAGTTTAACCTCTGTCGTTCAGCTCTTTAGTCTTTTATTTTATTTTTTTTGTGTCCTGTTTTCCATTTATAGTGACGAGACTTTTTTTTTATATATATTTTGTGTGACTTAAAAAAAATTTTCTCATCAGTCCAGGGCGATGCCAAGCTGTTATATTTTGTTTATTAAAAAAAATTGATGAACTGGCCTTTGTTTAAAAAAAAAAAAAGTAAAAAAAACTAAATAAAATTTGTACTTTTTTATTACACTCCCTTGTTTCAGTTTTTATTTTACATATACAACTGTTTGGCCACTAGGCGGCGACATGTTTTTTTGTTTTAAGAGTTGAATTTAGGTTATTTTTATTGCAGTTATTTGTTGGTAATTTAGCAAAATATGAAGCAGTGAATCAAACTGGGACTTACGGAGCTAAAACTGTTTCATAATCCACAAATGCGCAGGACGAGGACCACACTTGTATATCTTGATTTACAAGCTGTTTCTGGGCCTGTGAGTTGCGTTGCATTTGTGTGTGAATTTTGAGACTCCCCTCACATCTCAATCCACAAATGTCTTTTTTTTTTTTTTTTTTAAATAAATCAGAAGGATTCTTCCGTGGACACTAAATCTGCTCAGAAGAAACCTGGCCTAAAACCTGAACCTGGTCAAGCTGGATGTCTGGATCTTCCTCCGTCTCTGGCAACACTGAGATCTCCTGCAACGCGTTTGGCTGCAGATCTTCCTTCTCAGCTCTCAGTGTTGGCAGGCTGCAGATCCTCATTTGCTTTTTCCAAATGGACACTTTTCTCACAACTCATCTGCTGCTGGTGTTTTTTCTGCTCGTTCTTTCAGTGCTGCAACATCGGTTTTCGTACCTGCAGTTTAATTCCTGGTATAAACCTTTAACCACCTCCACCTGGGCACCCCTTTCCTTCTCTAGCAGCAGTTTGATCTCTTGATATTTTCTCGGTGGGAGGCATTCATAGCTCTGGCCTGGTAGGGAAGCTCCATTGTCCTCCTTTGACTTGTCCAGATGATCTGCAGCTGAAGTTGTTCCACCTGTTGCTGCAGAGAAGATTGGCTACATTTTAAATGTTTCGCCAAACCCACTGAACTTCCCCTGCAGCGTCTCGAACTCTTCTGTCATTTCTTCCAAGAGACGACCCTTCTCGGCTCTCAGTTCATCAATTTGCTGGAGGTCCTGCCTTGCTCTTTTCCGAATTGGCTTTTCTCTCCTGGTCCAAGACGTTGTGACATGTTCCCACCTCTTGTTTCAGTCCAGGAACATCTTTTTCACACTCGCTGTTGAGTTGTTTGAAAGAAAGTTTGATCTGTGCAAACTTCTCTCTGTGTTTTGCAGAAGTGTGATATCCTGCGACATCTTTTTGAAGCACATCGTGTGAGACGGCTCTTTGGTTCTCAAACTTCACGAAACGTCTGCGTCTCGCCAGAACCACGTCGGCTTCATACCTGGAGCGAAGCACAAAGTCCTGCAACCCATAATCATCCATCCATCCATCGTGTGCATCACTGTCACTGGAATCAGAGCTCAAGTTTCTATCTTGGCGGTTTTGGATTCGCGCCTCTTGACTCACTTCAAACTGCAATCGTTCAGCCCGTCTTTTCCTGCTGCGCTCCTATCAGCCCTCCCGATGGGATCGGGCAGCTGTTCTGACACTCAACGCGAGCCCAACCCCCGGCGGCGTGCCCTCTGACCTTCAGCCACAGCGGTATATATATCCGGGGGGGACGATCTGCAGTCCTCTGGCAGCCAAAATGAAGCTTCTGGTGACTGCGTGCCGCTTGCTGTGTCTCCTGGCTCTGTCGGCTGCAGGTACGGAGGCCGGATGAATGAAATAACCGGATTTAGAAACAAATGAACGTTCAGTTTTCGCTTGTAACGCTCTTGAACAAAAAAAAAGGGGCTGATTCAAATGAAATAGCACTTAATGTGTACGCATGCCACCGTTTTGGTGAACTTCCTAACAGCTTTGGTTGAATTTGCTGCTTTAAATCTGAATCAATCCACTCATTCTGTCCACCGGATGCTCAGTGCAGACCTCCAGTCTAATCTGTCAGTCTTCCTGCTTCTGGTTTGGTGGAGCTTGACCTGAATGTGTTGTTCAGAACGGGCCGGTCGTTTCGGGGTCTTCATCGACTCTCCCTTAATGTCGCGGCTTCCTGTCTGCCCTTGCGCCGATTCATTTTTGACCCCCGCCGGCCAGGTGTCGGGATATTGTCAGACAGAGTCGTCATCGGATACGGTTGTCAGACTGACAACTGTCTCTTCCAACCTCTCGGGAATGCGCAGACGTCGCACACCCAAATGCAAAGACTGTTTCTGCGACGTCTCTGGAAGAACAAGACAAACTTCGAGCCGTACAATTAGGCTTTGAGTCCACAGCTGCGCTCTGAAGGAAATTCATATTAAAAAAATGTTAAAAAAAATAGAATAAAAATTTCTACCTGGCAAAAAAAAAAGCAGGATATTCTCTGCCATTTAACAGTTTCTCGTTCACTTCTGTTCATCTCAAACTGAAATGTTCTGGGATTTTTTTTTTTTTTTTTTTTTTTTTACATCTCTCTGGACTTTTACAAACATTTGTGTTGTTTAAAAATGTAAATGTTCTGTATCATTACAGCATATCACTTGGCATACTCACAAACATTTGGGTTATTTAAAAGATGAAATATTTCATACTTTCATCGTTCATCTTCTTGCATATTTTCGAAAACTTCCCAAAGACTTCAAGACCTGCATTACATGTTGAATATATCGTAATTATGCTGTAAAATATATTGTCTTATGACATATTCAATGTGTTAATTTTGAAGCAGACGTTCAACTCTGAATGCAATCAGTGCCGAGTCAAACATGTCTGCAGGGCTTCGTCCGCTCCGCCTGCCAAGCCACTAATCTGTCATGCACTCGCGCACAATCAGACCGTCTCACTCTGGCTGCTGGGTTTAATTGCCGCCATATGCCGACTTTGTGATTTCTTGGTGTATTTATTGTTCTTGGAGGAGACCCTGAGTCCTTCGCGGCCGGAGCTCCTGCAGGAGCCGGCGCGGGGGCCTCATGACAATCGCAAGAGAGGGCGTCGAGCGTCACGCTTCCTGAAAATAGAAGTGGGATTATCCCTCCTTCTTTTCGCCCTCTGACTCATTGTGGGACTATTTCTGAGCGTCCAGCACCCAGGCACCTGTCCCGCTCTGTCCCCCGCAGGCCTGCGCTCCGCCCAGGCCCCAGCGTCAGGCTGCTGCTGCTGCTGCTTGGGAGTCAGGCAGCATTTCTGGCAACTGATCTGCACCACAGCAACACGTTGCCATTAATTGTGTTCCAACGCTCTTGGCGGGAGGAAAACCTGCAAACAGAAGACTTAAGGTTTAATGCGGGAGGTCTCAAACTGCAGTCCTCAAGGGCCGGCGTCCTGCAACGTTAAGATGTGCTTCTGCTGCACCACACCCACAATAATTAGGTCATCAAGGCTCTGCAGAACTCAAGGAGGAGATAATTAAGCCATTTCATGTGCAGGACAGCGGCCCTTGAGGACTGATAGTTTGACACCTGTGGTCTAACGTCTCACGTTTCAGACCGAGAATGTCAGACATTTTTGCAAAAGGACTCCAGGTGGAGTCAGATCGAATGGGAGGATCTTTAAACATCAAATTTCAACTCTGGCAACAAATCCAAGCTTGATTTAGGTCTGAGCTTTGAGTGAGTCACTTTACCAGACTGTCATCTTTTTAAATAATAATAATATATATATACATATTGTCCTAATTTAGCTGAATATCTCAAGTCAATTAGTTAGTGTCTGTAGAGAAACATTGCTACTGAAGATTCTCATTTAGATTTTGGCCTGGACTTAAACCGGGCCAGGACAAGCGAGTTACGCCCATCCTGTCTGCTCTGAGCTTGCAGGTACCATAAAATTATAATAAAAAGCTGACATTAATACTGGAGAATAAACTATTCATCTTATTCTCTATCAGTGATTAAGTTAAATTCATCAAGAATGGTAGCAAACAATTTAACGTTTATGATCACTCAAGAAAGATGCAGTCTGTCTTGATGCTGCCATAAACAACACTTGGTTATTTTATATTTACAATAATGCAGAAAAAGTGTGACAAAGTCTTGTAATAAATGCTCCAAATGTTAAAGTCGTTACCAGGTGTTTTCCAACTGATGAGTCAGACAGTTATTTAAAATGGACCTGAACGTTTTCAACTCAAACTGGGTAAAGTGTTTTGGAGAAGCATTCACATGCCTTGAACATCTCCACATCGTGTCAAGTCACAACAGCAAACGTATTCTTACAGGTTTCCTTTGATGAACTAACAAATGTGAATCTGTACTTTGACTAGGCCATTCTAAAACACAAATACGGCTCGATTCATACCATTTTACAGCATCTCCGGCTGAAAGACAAAACCTTATGCAAATCTTGGGCTTTTGTGTTTTCTAGCAGGTTTTCTTCCAGTGGTTAGAGATCTTCATTTAGATCTCTAACCACCCTCCATTTGCCAGCTATATCAGACAGAATTAATAAGCACGAGTTAGTCCACAATTGTAAAACCTTGCAGCTTTTTGTACTTTGGCTCATGTTAGATCTCAAACGATGCCGCTGCACCCGTCTGGATTGTGTCCAAACCTCCCACATGACTCAGGCACATCAGAGTTGAAGCCCTACAGACATGGATCAGATTACTCTTCTTCCTCTCTTGAGTCATTCAATTATAGACACCTGCGGTACACTTAAGTCTGCTCAAGATGGGTATTATAAGACCTTGGCCGAGAGAGATTTCTGCTGCATTACTGTGCCGCTCTTGATATTTTTACACACGTTTGTGCGAAATGTACTAAAATCTTAGTAAGTGACTTTGATCAATAGTTCTTTAAGGTTTTCCGAAGATTTATAAAACTGAGACAGGCAATAAAAAAAGAAAAAGCAAATCCAAAACAAATAACGTTTGAATGTCTGGCTATCTAGAGAGGCTTAAAAACTGAAAGATGAATAGACGTCTAGAGATGTCTACAGATGTGGCATTAAAGCTGTTGAGTTTGGTCAAATTACAACATCTGCAAACTTTGGCTAAAAAATGTCCACTTTCAATTTTTCTTTCTGACAAACCTTTGGAAACCATCAAAAAAGATGTCAAGAGTTTCCGTTCTTTGAGCTCAAGAGGCTTTTTATGGCTGGCAGAAACAGGGATGCAGTTGCTGGCACCAGTTAGAGCAACTGGTGGTCTTTGGTTTGAATCCGAGCCGGGACATTTCTGAATGCTTTCAGGAAAGCGAGTCCTCCAGAAGGCAACAGAAAGAAATGAGGGATGGCTTCAGATTTTGATGTAATACTAAGGATTATTTCTAAAGGTGAACGATGGATGGTATATCTTGGTAAAAACAAGAAACATGAATGGAAGCTCCACATTTTTCTGCACTGAATGTGTTCAGTTACAGATTGTTTGCAACGTTGGATCTTCCCTGTTTACATGTAACAATAAAATGGACTTTTCCTGTCTGCAGGCGTCAACCAAATTTGGCCCAAACTAAGATGTTCAAAGTCAGACTTGGTTGGCCTATTTGATCAACCCAAACTCCTTTTTGGACATCAATAGATTTATTTTGGCTTTGCACTTTTGTCATGTTTTGTAGCCCGAAGTCAACATCTTCTTTTTTTATCTGTTTCCTGTGAAAATTTGCTTTCGGGACTCCTCCAACTCTGAAAATTCACTTCTTTTTTTCTGTCAGATTTTTATGAACGTAACAAAATGACACAATGTGGCCCCTTAACTGTATTTTGGACTCAATTTTATTTTCACTTTTGGCAAAGTCTGCATAATAATGCCTCATAACATGACAACATTACTGCAGTATTGCATTTTTATTTATTTTTTACGCGTTCAGTAGCTGTTGGGGCCGACTACCCCACTGGGAGGTGGTAAGCCAAAACCTTAGAGCCCCAAGAGGTGACAACAACATGATGGGAACACATTGGACATTTATTATACGTTAGGGTGGGGGACAATGCTGGTCAGCACTTTGGGGGACTGGAGGGTACGTATTGTTCTAATGATGACCTCTATGACATCTATGAGCATTGACTCCCCTATAAAAGCCGAAATTATACAATTTCTTAACTAAACGGTATCAGACGAACCTGATTTTATGAACTTTTAAAAGTTGGACACTAAATAGAAAACAGTTTGCCTACAAGACACGTCATAAAACCTCATAGCTAAGTTTTAGTTACACAAAATGTTAGAAACTTGTTTATTTATCGGCACACAATTCCACACATCAGACAGTTTGAACACTAATGGTTTGGTAATGTTAACTCTAATCTCTGTGAGAAAATGAAGTTTAATTACCGGAGGTCCACCCGAGTTAATCAAACCAAATATTTTCAGCGGGATCTTCTTAATTAGTGACAAAAAATACTTAACAAAACATCTGATGTCTTTGACAGCTGCCAAAACCTTTTAATCCTCCTCCCTCGTAGTGAATCCATCTTGTAACATGAACGGTCGGCATTCGTTTAAGAGTCTCACATCACACTCTGTACCACAGGCAGTTAAATTTAAATGCAGGTCACAAACCTTTGCTCTTTGTCCGTCATGGCAGTCAAGGATATCCAGCATGCCTCAATGTATCGGGACGCCAAAAGAGTCCCGTGCTGTTAGGTATGATTTTATAGAAGTCGTGGTGGCTGTGTGTGATCCATAAACGCACGGTAACAAAGTTTAAGTGTCAGAGCAGAGAAAGTGATCATTTAAAAAATAATACATTTTAGAATGAAGGATGTTCTGCAGATGGTCCATAATACCTCAGGTCTTCAATAAGCTGCTCTTTGGTTCTCTGAATCCTTTTCAACTTCCTATTGCCAACTTTGGGACAATCATAGCAATTGTCCCAAAGTTACAAAATGAGAGCAAAAAAATCCTTCCGGCTGCACGGCAACCATAACTGCTAAAAAAACAAAAAAAAAAAAACGGCAAGCAGAAATCTAGAAAAATATGTCATGTTTGATGTTCTTTAAACACCTTCCTTTCTCCGGACAGAGTCCTCCATCCACGACGAGGAGCACCGAATGCGTCTTCAGCTCCAGCAGCCAGACGGAGACCTCTTCCCCTGCGGATGTGACACAACTGATGCCAGCCAGACCTCGTCCAATGACACCCCGGCTCCGGAGAGAGCCGTGTGCCACCCCTGCAAGACCCTGGCGAGTGATGAAGAAGAGCTGGTGGCCGCGTTGGAGCAAGAAGTAGAAGAAGCACATCCAACTGAGGACGATTCTTCTGTTGAGGAAGTTGCAAGTGAAGAAAGGAGCCTGGAGGAGATTGCAGAGGAGCATGAAGAGGCGACTGGTGCTGAAAGCCAGGAGAAGGAAGTACCTGAAGAGATCGTTGTTGCTGAGGCAGAAGAGAGGACATATGACGAAGAGGACCAGGAAGCACTAGAAGAATCATCTCAAACAGAGGAGGAAGACATTAGTCACGACACTGCAGCTGATGAAGAAGAAGTTAAGGATGAAGGTGCAGAGGAGGATGAAATGGTGCCTGAACCAGATTTGACAGAAGACCCCAAACCAGAGTCACAGGAGCTACTGGAGGATCAAGTGACAGAACAACCTGAAGCAGAAGCAGAGCAAGAAGTCGCATTAGAGCCTGAGCTGATTACTGAGACTGACCCAGAACCAGAAATCAGCCATCAGGTGAACCAGGAACCTTCTCTGGAAGGCACTGAGGATGATGCAGTGGATGAAACCACAGAGGACACACCGGAGTCTGAACAGGGTTCTGACCAGGAGGTGAAGCTGGAGGAGGTTCCTGCAGAGGAGCCAGCACAGCTTCAGGCTAAAGGTACAAAAAGCTGTCAAAATGCATCATTCATGTTTTATGAATATAGATTGTTGGACTTGGGAGGGAGAACATCACTGGGTTTTGTCTTCAGTTTTTCAATCCCAGTAATTCAGTCATAGCTGATAGCATCGACCCCTGACACTTTGACAGTTTCTTTTTGTATAGTTAGAGAGGAGCTAAGAGATCATGCCTTTATAGAAAAGCCTGTGCTTCCTTGCATTCACACTGTTGGATATCATTGTGACGATTGGATATATTTGTCTTCATTCTATATTATGAAAATCCTGAGAATATGATCTTGTGATGGACGGAAGTGATTTGAATATTTTGGGTTGCAATTTTTCATTAATTCATTGATTCTTACTCTGTTCTTAAGTTAATTATGTATGTGTTTTGTTTTATTTATGCCACCCAGAGTGAGGGAGGAGGTTGAATTTCTTTAAACAATAATAATAATAAAAAATACATACTTTCTTAAGTAAGCTCTTCTTTAAACTAAAAATAAAAAATAAAGTTATTTAAATCTGACAAATAAAAGATACTCTAACAGTCAGACCAAAATGAAACTTTTTGGCATTCAAATCATTACATGTGGTGGAAAGGCACCCTGAACGCTCCACCTGCAAAATGTAAACAGTGGTGACAGAATCATGTTGTGGGGAAGCTTTTTTTTTAATGTCTTAATGCCTAAACACGAGGCAATCGTGGAAGAAAATCAGACAGAGGCGGCAAAACACTGGAAACTGGAGCTAAATCAATACAATGAGTTATTGCATTCAAAGCATGGCAAAACTATGAGGCGAGTACTTTTACTCAGATCGCTCGCATCGCGATATGAGAACGCTGCTTGGTCGCGAAGCATAGCTTGTTTCAGTCGTATTTAGATCGGCTCTCTTTTATTCACCTGCCGACTCACTGCATGTTCGTTCACTCTCACAGAGGATGAGGCCGTCGGGCCGGGCCTGAGGGACCGCTCCCACATTGAGGAGATGCTGCGACTGGCGACAGCTGAACCTTCAGCAGAGTTCTCTGGTAAGGAGCAAAATATCGGCCCGATCTTACTGACCAGACGAAATCTTTTCAAGGTGCTCGAGTTTAGGTCCAAAATTACAAGAATAAAGTCGTGATGCTATGAGAATAAAGTTCCAATAATATGAGAATGAAGTCACAATGTTGGGCCAAAAGCTCCACCATACCTGATGGGGAAAAACGCTAATCTATTAAACACAGTTAAAACACATTGCCTCTATCCATCATCACCACTGGTTGCGTCTGTTGGACCTCTGCTGTGGAAATGAAGTCGTGACTTGAACCTCAACAGCATCTGAATGTTTGCACCTACGTTGTCAATGCGAAAGGAAACCAGATGTGCTCGCAGGAAAATAAGTGGAACGGGTTTTTTTTTTTTCTTGCGTCGTCGTGCTGCAGCCATTCTGATGATTGCTTCATGATGTCTGGGCCAAAGTGTGTGCGCATGTACCTCATGAGAGCGTGTGTACAAATGAGAGCGATTAATCAGACCAAATGTGATGCTGTCCTGAGCATGAAAGCCTCTACAGTTTGTTGAATCAGAGCGGTTCCTGTTACAAAAGTTATGAGCTTCGGCAGAGCAGGCCTTTTATTGCCTCCGATCTGTGCAGTAAATTTTATGGGGTCTTTTCATCATCTACAGCGGAAGCAGGTTTTGGCATTAGCTGTTATGGGTCTGTCTCTCTCTGCTTTTCTCTGTTTAGGCGCCATAAAGAGACTGTTAAACATCTACCATAAGTCCATCAAGCCAATGGAACAAGTCTTTAAGTACAACGAGCTCAGGCAACATGAAGTTACAGGTAGGTACTGGTGGCTCTTCCTTTGGAGAACAATGGCGAGACCAAAAGTGACTTAAGAAAACTTTTACCAGTCAGATCATTCTGTAGGAGCAGTGCCTTGCAAAAGTGTTCACTACCCTTGAAGTTTTTCCACGTCTAGTCCCATTACGCCTCCAAAACTGGAGGATTTATTGGTATTTTATTTAAGAGAAAACACAAAAGAAAAGCATAGTTTTTTGTTTGTTTGTTTTAAGGAAAAGGACACATGGTTTTAATCAAACTTTTCCTTTTTTTCCAGCATCATTCTGGGGAGATGATTTTCATTAGGACAGGGAAGCTGATTAACAGAACGATGGACGAAGTTTATAATGTTTATAATGTGAGGCACCATGTATCACACACTAATGAAAACTCTTGTATCAGTGTTGATACAGGAACCTTTCTTAGTGTGTGCTTTTATTTCAGTGTTTTTCCTACTTTTTGGTCCAGTACTGAATCCAGCTGAGTTTTGGATGCAACTTTCAAGGAATGTTCATAAAATTCACCAAATGCTTTAATGGAAATTACTGGCAGGTGGTTTAGGCACCTTCTAGAACAAGTACCTGTTAACCAATAACTTCTACGCTCGGACTGCATTGTGCAGCGGATTAGGGTCAGGACTGGGGTTAGGATCTGTGGTGGTTTCTTTTTTTTTTTCCTCAAACCTTCCTCCTACCTTTTATAAACACACACCTACAGATGGTGAGATCACCTCAAAGCCAATGGTTCTGTTTCTTGGACCCTGGAGCGTTGGAAAGTCCTCGATGATCAACTACCTTTTGGGTCTCCATGGCACATCCCAGGAACTTTACACAGGTTAGCACAAATAAAACTTGACAGTTTCTGAGTTTGGTGCATGGACCATAAACAAAAGGTCTGTTTCTTTTTCATCCCTGCACCAGGTGCTGAGCCCACCACATCTGAGTACACGGTCATCATGCACGGGGAGAGATTTCGGACCATAGAGGGCATTGTGATGGCAGCAGACAGTTCCAGGTCCTTTTCTCCACTGGAGAAGTTCGGTCAGGGCTTCCTGGAGCGACTGGTCGGCATTGAGATGCCCCACAAGTTACTGGAGAGGGTCACCTTTGTTGACACACCAGGCATCATTGAAAACCGCAAGCAGCAGGAGAGAGGTAAGAATCAGTCCAAAAATCTGTCCTCCATAGAAAGGTGGATAAAGGTGAGACATTGTTTGAAGAAAGCCATAAAACTTTTAGACTTTTCCAAGGAAATTGCGCAGCCGTAGCTGACCTCGTTGAAGTTCACAGGTTACCCGTACAACGACGTGTGCCAGTGGTTCATCGACAGAGCCGACCTCATCTTCCTGGTGTTCGACCCCACCAAGCTGGACGTGGGGGGCGAGCTGGAGATGCTCTTCCGCCAGATGAAGGGCCGCGAGTCCCAGATTCGCCTCATCCTCAACAAGGCCGACAGCCTCTCCACGCAGGACCTGATGAGGGTCTACGGGGCGCTCTTCTGGAGCATGGCGCCGCTCGTCAATGTCACAGAGCCACCTCGCGTGTATGTCAGCTCCTTCTGGCCGCAGGACTATGCTCCGGACACCAGCCGAGAGCTCTTCATGAAGGAGGAAATCTCCCTGCTGGAGGATCTCAACCAGGTTGAACTCGTTCCTTTCTGTTCAGTAACCTCAAAATGACTCTGTGAAGGGCTGGTTTCCTGTTCAGGGTCTGTCCTCCAGGGTCTGTGGGGAGTTTCTCAAGGCTCCACTTTTGGGCTGCTGTTGTTGAATATCTACATTTGAAGCCAGAAGTTTTCAAAAAGACACACAGCTTTTTTTTTTTTTTTACGCCGCCTCAAGTTAAGACAGACCAAACTTCATTTTGTTTTCGGTCAGTCAGAATCACCGAAATAATTTCTATTTGCTTAAATAACGAGAGAAAGCCCAGATGATGAGGTCATGGGAACTTCTGATAGGTTCATAATTATGTTTACTTGTATTTTTTAATGTACTTCTCAGATTTAAGTGGTTAAATGAAAAATATGAGAAATGTGCTTTTTAAAAAAAATCAGAGTAATTGATAATCAAAATAGTTAGTTGTTGCCCTAATTGGCAGATTATTTTAATTAGCAACAGAAAACTTTAACAGTGACAGCGTTTGGGTACAGGCAGAATGATATTTATTCCTCCATACTTGTTTAGGGCTCGTCGTCGTCTCCTACTGTATATGGCTAAAAGGCAACCTACTCCCTGGCCAGACCACCAATCAAATCTGTATTCTCCTACGAGTTCTTCTTTTTTGCCTTTGCTTTCTTATTTATGTTCCTTAAATTTGCCTCTATCTGTGCAGGTGGTTGAGAATCAGATAGAAAACAAAATCGCCTTCATCCGCCAGCACGCCATCCGAGTACGCATCCACGCTCTGCTGGTCGACCGCTACCTTCAGACCTACCACGACAAGCTGGGCTGGTTCGGAGACCCCTACGAGGTTTTCCAAGACATCGTGAACGACCCCGATAAGTACTACATCTTCAAGTCCATTTTGGCCAAGAGCAACGTCAGCAAGTTCGACCTGCCCGACAAGGAGGCTTACCAGGACTTCTTTGGGGTCAACCCCATTTCCAACTTCAAGCAACTCTCCCAGCACTGCAGCTGGACTGACGGATGTCTGCTGGAGAAGATCGAGAAGGCCATCTCGCACGAGCTTCCGGCTCTGCTCAGCAGCGTCACCAAAAGCTCAGAGGCACCCACCCCAGCAACGGCTGCCCCAGCAAACCCGCCGCCTCTCCCCGGTACGTGCGAAGGTCCGGAGTGTGAGGAGAAACCCAAAAATCGCTGGAGGAAGCAGTGAGATGGAAGGGAAGAGGACCGGAGGCAGCCAAGAGAGAGATGAGGGAGACGGCAGCCAGAGAGTTTCCTGAAAATAATGTCCACTGGTGTGGATTCCAGGAATAGCTCCAGGAAGACTGGAAATGTGCAGAAAACCAGATGCAGAATGGACTTCAGGATATTTTGTGTTACTACTTAAATGGAAAGAATTTTTGCCGTACATGTTCTGTTAGTTGTATTTGAAAGCAGAGGAAAAAACAATACAGGGCCCTCTACATTTATCGGGACCCTTTATAAAGATGTGTAAAAATCCCCTAAATCAATTGTGTATTCCTCTGCCATACATTTATACAGTTCATTTCATTTACCTTACCTTTGAATTTAAATGCAAGTGGGGAAGAAACATCTGCTCTTTTTTTCACCAAATCATTGGTGCCACACTTATTTGCACCCCTACTTCTCTCATAATAGTTTGCTAGTTTTAAGCATACAGACCATATTTTAGAGCATTCCTCTTCACACATACTCAGTGGATCATCCAGAGTCTCTACTCTTCAGCTCCCCCACCTGGGCATCTATAGGATTGACATCTCAGGAAGTGAGACGCCCATGAAGGAAGGTTGAGTTAGTTACTCGCGAGCCATTTCTGCACTCATTTGGCCAAATTTTTCTGCTCATTTTTCATTTGAAAAAAACCCCTATGACGATCCAGTTTCAGCATTCTGGCAGAGATCCACAAATTGTTTTGGGAAATCTTTCAGTGTCTAAAACAGTTCACAATGCTGTGCACTCTAACTAGATTTTCAGACTACTTAGGAGAGATACAAACCCAACACACATCACAGAACCTCCGCCATGCCTGACAGTGAGAATAAGGTGCTTTTCTAAGAATGAATTCAAAAGGCCTCTGCATACATGATTGTTAGGACAGAAAAGGCTTCTTCCTGTCATGCTTCCCAAATAGCATTTGGCATTTAGACAGTCGTCCAGGGCCAGCAGGTGAATTACCTCCTCAATGCTTCACTAACTGTTTTTTATTGGAAGTTTAGGGAATCCTGATGGGTGTGGCACCAGTGATATTTTTTTTAAAATCTTAATAGAAGGTTTTTTATACAAACCTTCAAACAGCCTTTTACCAGAGGTGCCAAGAACTGCTATATTTTGATATCGCTGGTGCAGAATTTGATTTGTTTGGCATTAAGCAAATAACTTCACTTCTTGTGGTGATTAAATTGTTCCTTAAATTCCTCTCTGCAACAGTTTTACTTTTCAAACGTTGTTCAATGTCTAGAGCATAAATATGCTTCAAGCTTTATGTTTTAGAAAACATATTTTTCAGTTTCTTGTTTATGATCCTCGTTCTTTTATTTGTTTTAATCAGAGGAGTCATCACACTGCTCCTGGGATAGAAAAGGAGAGCTGACCTTGTAATATTTTATATTTGCAGATCTGAACTGCTGTGATTGAGACAAACAGCAGAGTTTTGTGACAACTTGTTCTAATAAAACGAGGAGGGAAGGGTTCGCACTCTGTTTCCAGTTGTATTTTGCACAGTAACTTCCCTCTGAACCATGTTTTGCTCCGATACATATACTTTACTTTATTTTTAACATGTCCTGAGAAGGTTAGGATAACTGAAAGAAATAAATGTGCTACAATTTACTAGGATTTTTCCCCAAAAAACTTTGAACTGTTGTTTAGTTTCACCTCAATTCTGCTGTGCACCATACTGGCATTTTCCATTAAAATACGCTCTGTCGGCTCTCTGTTGGGTCCTTACTCAGTGATTACTCTGTTTAATATTGTCCTTGTTTTGTGTGATAAATTGTCAGTAAATAACCAGGATGCAAAAAAAAAAAACAAAAACAGCAGCACTGTTCCCTTTGTGAAGTCCCTTTGACTAAACCCTAATGGTCTGGTATCAAAAAATACCTGAACATGTTGGGTGATGTGGCGCTTATTGAACTAGAAATGATTTCATTGTTATCAATTTGCCTTACGAAATGTTTTATTAAAATATAATGTGAAAATTATGTCGTTTCTGAAGATTCATTTCGAGGGTGGTTCGGTTTGCTTGACCTTCAACTTGTCAGAGTTTCCCTGCAGGTGTGAAAGCCTTCAGGAAAATGACGGTACAAAATCACAAGTCTACAACAAACAGCTTGTTGGATAGAAGAACCCTTGACTTCTGGGATGATGTTCCTTGGACAGATGAAATTCTATTTCCAGAGCCAGGTTGGTGAAAACCGGTCCTTTGTCCTCCGCTTTCCTCCACCCAAAGTTCCTGGTTCCCTCGGATGTTGAGAGGAGGCATGGACTCTGTTGAGCTTTTAAATCTTAACACAGTCATTGGCAGAAATGTTTATAATGCGCCGGCTTGATGCTATGAAGCTGACCCGAAATCGCCTACCTGTCAACAACCATCCTCCACTGTGAAGATGAAGTAAAAAAAAAAAAAAAAGATGGATATTGATTTAATTCACTTTAGGAACATGGCCAACATGGACTGAACGGCTGTTTTCACGTCCTGCGTTGAAATTGCAGAAACTACAGGCAGACTACAAATTCAAAATGGCGCAGAAAACCGTCGTTCTCAACTTCTCCTTCTGTTCTATGTCCTGGTAGACACTCTACCAGAGAAATCCACTTGAAAGGCAGAAAGCCCAGACAGAACTGTGACGATAAATCAGAATTGAGTGGAATTGCTTAGGAAGCCAACGCCTAAGCTAAGGTTTGGCTTAAACCAATTGTGAAGCACAGAGGGGCAAGTTTCAGTGTTTGGGGACGTTTTGCTGACACACCACCGAGGCAGTTCTCCATAACGGAGACCATCATGGATTCTACCGCGTGTCAGAGGAAAATTTGAGGAAAATGTGTCATCAACTGTAAAACCATTTAACCTTCCTGTTATGTTAGTTTCTTAGGTACAGCAATAATGTTTGTGGGTCAATTTAATCATGCAATAGTGTCAGAAACTAAAAAATTCCTCCAAAACATTTTTGTATCTGACAATTAACTCTAATACTAACCATTTCAATCAATATTTGTGCAGTGCTGCTTTTTTATTTCCCAGAAATGCAGGATTAATAACAATAAGTCTTTTTTAAGCAACAACAACAACAAAAAATGATCCAAGCATAACAGTAAATTCATCCTTGCCAGGCTGAGAGTTAGGACATGGAAATCCTTGATTGATTCAAGTTGTTGATCTTAGTCAGATGATGTGATGTGACTCAGAAAATAAAATCCTTAAAACATCAAAACGCTGCAAGTGAGGAGTGGACAGGTGTCAAAGTCAAAAAGATGGCTGCAAGAAGTGTTTGGAGAAGCGAAAACATTTTCACCAACGGAGTTAACACTCACTCTTAGGAGGTAAGGTATACTAACTTTTCTTTTTCTTACCAACAAATTTAGACATCTAGAAAGAGTAAAATGTTATTTTCCAGTTGCATTTCTGTATCTCTGTTTGTTAGAGATAAATAACAGATAATAATGATAAAGGGTTTGACATTAATGTCTGAATATTTCTTGAGAAAAAAAAATGTTTTCACAGAACTGTAACTGTGTAACAGAAGAAAGCTAATATATCCCTATTATTGAGAAAACAGCCATGATTCCTGTTGGTCAATTTTCTTCTGCAGTGACTAAAAGTTGACACCAGATGGCGCTTCGGTTCAATGCGTTCGACTCAAACGATTTTCAAAGATAGAGAATGAAAATAAGTTTTGGATTGCCTTACCTCTTGTTTAATGCAAACAGGAAGTAAAATCTCAAAGTAAATAATATCTTGTGCAGAGGGGGATATAAAAGCATTTAGGTGTTTATGCAAATGAACAAAATTTGCACTGGATTTACACACTCACTCTGTTCTGAACATATTTGATGAGCTGCTTATAATCTCTGGATCACTGCAGTTTAGTGAGTCAAATTTTAATTTTCTCTGAAGAGAAATCTGCACAAGCTGAAACTGATTCAAGCTTCAGAAAAGCTAGCAAAAGTGTTGATTTTATGGTAGAAATCTGGTAGTTTTTTTTTTTTGTAGAAATCAGTTTTCATTTCCATATTAAAGCTCAATTTTATTGATGGTGACTGATTTGCAACATCAGTATAAGGATGAAACATCCAATTTGAAACATCCAAGGTGGTGAGTACATTTTATGGGAACTTCATTTCATCTTTTTGATGCATTATTATGAGCCAAACTATACAATGCGTCAAACTCGAGGCCCGTGGGCCAAATCCAGCCCGCCATAGCTTTTTATGCGGCCCTCTAGATTCTAGACTAAACACAAAGTGTCCTTAAATATTATGTTTTCAGGCAAATCAATGCCATTTTTATCTTTTTACTGCCAAATTATATCAATCAGTCCCTCCAGTTTCTTGAGAATTATTGTGGAAATTCACATAAAATCAACAAGTCCCTGCTCTCTTTTTGCGCTAAGAATTGGAAGTTCATTGCAGATTTTTCTTTAAAATATTGTCAAAAACCTTCTTACTTGTACAAAACATCCGGCTCAGCCTTAATTGGTATCAGATTTTACTCCACTATCCATACAGCGGGTGACAGAAAGCCGCATTTACCGTTACAAATAAGCGCAAGTATTGCAAATATTTCCAAATTTGTACCACAAATACTTTGATTTTTATTGCAAAAAAATCACAAAAAGAATCACGAAATCCTGGAGGGACTGAGAAGATGTTCAATAATATTATTTAATTTTAAGAATTAATTGATTTTTTTTTTTTAACTGTTTGTGAACAGATTTTATACATTCGGTACAACGGTCACTTTAAGGGCCCAAAATGATTTAGCCCAAAAACGAGGATGAGTTTGACATCTTGGTTTTGGGCGACGATGCTGTTACTCTACAATGCAGAGTAACAGGCAAAACTGATATTGGCTTGTTCATTAGTCAGTCTCTCTCTTTTGGTCGCCAGCCTACAATCAGCTGCTCCACAGACAAGATCCTCATTGTAATGCAACTGTTGTTTTTAATGTTACTCTTCACCAAGAGAAAAAAGTTTCCAGACTTAATTATAACAGCTGAAATGCTCGTTCTTGCCCTCTTTTCAGTCTGTGAACCAGCTTGGCCTTCCTTTTCCTTCTGGCTCATTTTTGACTTTACCTGACTTACCTGTGGCTTTATGAATAAAACTCACACCCTCAAACATAAGGCTCCTGCCGTCTGTGTTTGATGAGCTGAGCCACGGCTCTCGAAGGCTCTCAGCACAGTTTCAGAGCCAGACCCATCAGACGGGCTTTATCAGATCCCACAACAGTCCTCTCTTTGTGAGCTCTCAGCGCACCACCCACATGCCGAGCTCTCTCACAAGAACACTGCAGAGACATCACACGTCCCCCGAGATTGATATTCAAACTGTACTCCGTCTCCGACAGTGAAATGTAATTAGAATAATATGTTAACAGAAAGGACTGGCGACCTGTCCAGGGTGAAGCCCACCTCTCGCCCGAAATGTCTCCCTGGAGATAGGCAGCAGCACCAGCACCCGTCCTGACCCCACCAGGGACAAGGGTGTTAGAAGATGGATGGATATCAACAGAAAGACCAGAAATCCAACATGAATGAAAATGTCAACTGTGCTCTGAGTCCTAAAGGATATCTGTGTGACTTTTCAAGATGTTTTTGTAAATGCTTAAATATTTCAACAGTATTTAGAAGTACTAGAAGAGCTTTGTGTGGCAACAGTAGAAGGCAGGTATGGAGTTAAACTGTAATTTATTTTTTGTTTTCCAGTTTCAAATGTTCTTTTTTAACAGACTTTATGACCCCAGTTCAGCTCCATATGCTTAGATCAACTGAAACTGTGAGATGAGGTAAATGATGAGGTTGATCTTGCTAAGAGACAGAGCAACAAATGAGGTGCATATGTCTATATACAAGTATGAATGCATGCAGCCTCAAGAGGTATATTTGTAAGCATCTATGTGTCATTACTGAGCTGGTGTACATCAGAAAAAAAAACACAAAAATGCATTTGCATCAAATTCTATTATTTTTTTTAAATCATAGAATTCCCACATCACATAACCACTTTATGCAGGAGGAACAGATGAAATAATTAACTAAGAGCCAAGGAGTCGTTTATTCCTTTAATTAGTGTAATTTGTGACCAGAAATGACATGGAGGTCAAAGATCAGGATTAGAAAAGACATGTATGTTCTACAAATGTCAAACCTGTAGGTCTCTCTGTGTTTGTGGAACTTTTTCTGCCATAGAAAAGAACAGTGTTCACTAAAAAGTAAGAAAAAAACAACAAATGAGAGACGTTTTTTTTTAGTAGTCGCTGACACTTAATGTAATGTGGGCGATACGAAGTAAAATTTATTTATTTTTTTAAAAAAAGGTGAAAACAGGTCATCTAAAAGCCCAAAGCTGCACTTACAGGTGAGTAATACTAACAACAACCTGTCAAGTCAAAAAAAGGGAAGTATGTAGAGATCAGAAGTTGAGTTTTGCCTTCAAATTAAAAGCATGGCGCTTTTTAACATTGAGTTGAAAGTCGAAAAGTAAACACAGTTCAGTTTGCTTATTTTCTTTATTGGTTAGTTGTACTTTTTTTTTTTTTTTTTTTTTTTTTTTTTACAGACATTTGTTTCTCTGTTTATTGTTTGTTAAACTGGTGGAGTTTGTCGTGGCTTGTAGTGACATATCAACCCAATTAGGACTAAAGCAACTTGTACATTCAAGCCCTAGATTTAACATTCAATATTTAACATTAAAACATTTTATTTACGATACTCACAACCCTTATTAGTTTCATTTTATATATATATATATATATATATATATATATATATATATATATATATATATACTCTCAAAACAATAAATGAAATCTAGTGCAATCGGTTGTCTTCCTATTTAGTAAAGATAAACCTAGCTGTTTTGTTGGAGAATAGTAATGAACAAACAGAATCATATAGTCCAAGAAAGACGGCAGAGAGGTCAGGAAGACAGCTGTGGTTAGTTTTTAGCATCTCAGAACAAAAGACTTGGAAATGAAGTTGGAGGTTTCAGGAGGGCAAAGACAGTCTACCTACAGACAGTCAACATACAGACGGTCAACATACAGACGGTCAACATACAGACGGTCTACATACAGATGGTCAATATACAGTCTACATACATACAGTCTACACACAAGCTGTCTACAAACAGACATATCTTGAAAAGCAGGAAAACTAAACTGTAATGAAATGAGAAACCAAGACATGATATTTTTTGTTCTGTTGTGACTAGTGGGATTTAACTCTGAGATATGCTATGCACATGTTTAATTGCGAGCCTTCCTCATGACTGTCTTGGTCACGCTCACAAAATAACTTTTCACTCCTGAAAGTCTGTCTTTCTTCACTGGTGTGACGTAATCATCAGACTTTCATAGAAACTGAACATTGAGGTTTTCGATTAGTGAGTCTGTGAGAGATCCAAACCACTAAAATAAATTTCTGATCTAATCATGTTTGTGACGCAGCTGTAGAAAACCGCCGGTCAAACATATCATCTCTCTCAACGTACTCGTTCTAAATCGTCTTTTTTTTATTTATTTCTTTTTTTTTATTTTTATTTTGTAGGCCTAAAACCGGAAGTAGCGTTATGGAGCATCGCGGCTAACTTCGCAGCCTGCCTGCTCTGGCCAACCAGCGCCGCCACAACAGCTGGGCAAGGATTTCCGACCCTCTGTGCAGCGAAGATGGTGGCGGCTACAAGAGTGAGGAGCTTTCTGTCGCCCGGACGAGGCGGACGAACAGGCGGCCGCCTGTCCTTTGTGTTTTTCTCCGGACCCTAACTGCGTCCGAGAGCGAAGACGCGGAGGGGCGGAGGCGTGGAGGTGGAGCGGGGAGAGAGAAAGGGTGGCAACCAGCCACCGAACGGACGGAAGAGGACGCACCACCGCCGGAGCGCACAGCGTTATGTGTGTGTGTGTGTTTTGTTTTTTTTTTTTGACACATGCATGCCAGCGAAAACTAGTGCTGCCCAGACCTTGAGGGATTTGCTTGCGATCTGGAGATAAGGAAAGAGTGTTTTGTTTCTTTCTTTCTGGATAATCCAAACGAGGATCACCGAGAGCCAGAGCCGCTCTGTGGATTTTCTCCCTTCTTTGCTCCAAAGGGAATGCGAGAGGAGGAAATCCAGCCTCATCTCCAAATAAGCAGAGACTCCTGACTGGGTCTCCGCTCCAAACGCAGGAAATACGGCCTGGAGAGAGAGAGAGAGAGAGAGAGAGAGAGAGAGAGAGAGAGAGAGAGAGAGAGAGAGAGAGAGAGAGAGAGAGAGAGAGAGAGAGAGAGAGAGAGAGAGAGAGAGAGAGAGAGAGAGAGAGAGAGAGAGAGAGAGAGAGAGAGAGAGAGAGAGAGAGAGAGAGAGAGAGAGAGAGAGAGAGAGAGAGAGAGAGAGAGAGAGAGAGAGAGAGAGAGAGAGAGAGAAAGTTTGGGAGTTGGGAGGCTTTTGAGATGGGGGGTGGAGGCTTTACCATAACATTTTTAGCCTAAGCAATCCTCGTGCTTCAGGGAAGAAGTTCAAGAAAGAAAGAAAAAAAAAGCAATCCCTTCTTTTTTTTTCCTTTTTCTTTCACATGCAGCGGGGTGGTGTTATTTGCGAGAGTTTTGATCATCACTATTTATAGCCCAGCCTGGTCCGAGGCGAAGCCGTTCCCCCCGCTGCTGCTGCATGTAAGTTTCGCCAACTGCGCGCAACAAGTTGCAGGCACTCCCAGCAAAACACAGGCTGAACAACAACAACAACAAGAAAGAAAGAAAGAAAGAAAGAAAGAAAAGAACTGGGGCAATGCACGGACAGTTATAATTTTTTCTTTCTTTTCCTAGTGCGGATCATGCGTCTGTGAAAAGGGGGAAGTAAGGGAGAGGAGGGGGGGGCAGATCCTGAGACCCTCTGTTTGGGAAAAGCGGAGAGAGAGAGAGAGAGAGAGAGAGAGAGAGAGAGAGAGAGAGAGAGAGGAGGGAAGAAACAGAGGAGATCCGGAGCTGGGAGTTCAGGAAAGGACGGGGCTGCATCCGTGGGAATAGGCCTGGCTGTCAGGGGCCTCCTCTGTGAGTTGGGTGTCCAAAAAAAAAAAAAAAAAACCGAAAAATTAATAATAATAATAATAATATAAAATGGAGGGGGGCTGCTGCAATACAGATGGCAGGGGAATCTTGGGAACGAGACATGGAAAGCCTTCGCGCACAGCATTAGAGTGGAATCAGTGGGAGGTAATTGCAGCTCGCACACTTTTTAATGAACTGCTTTAAGACTTTTCATCCGTTTAAGGTCGCCGTTCTCTTTTGATAAGCTATTATTATTATTATTATTATTATTGCATTTGTATTATTTCTAATAAGTGCAATTCTACGTATTTTTTCCTCTTCTTCGTGGCACCGGTTGCTGCTCGTACATATAGTATTTTACTCGTGGAAACGGAGTATAAATAGAGGAGTTATGCTGGGCGTCACAACAAGGACAGTGCAACCTTCGTAACCAGCTGTTGGCTTCTATTTTATGATTAGTATTATTCGTCCAAACAGCCCAGCAATTGGAAAGCCCAACTTTCTTAATTGCGCACGTTCGTTCGGTCGTGCGCATTTGGGAGAGAGGGAGAAATCTGTTGCGCCGCTGCCCAGAAGGATGCCGAGTCCGGGAGGAAGAAGACGCGACGATGAGGATGTTTGCGCCGCAGCCGTAGAGCTCACCGGACAGCCGCTGTGGAGAGGGATGCTGACGCAAAGGCAAAGGCTGCAGAATGGTGTTCTGTGAGCGTCTTCATGTGAGTGACTGCGCGTAGCCGACTCGTCTGTCACCCCTCCTCCCACCCGTTCAGTGTTCATTTTCCGACAAAACCGCTTTTTTTTGTTTGTTTGTTTTGTTTTCCTTGTTCTGCCTCCCAATGTCAGCGTCTGTCCTCCTTCGCCTTCCCTCATTTGACTCGGCGGCACCAGAGTGAATTACTGATAGATTCAACACCTCAGTGACCGCCTCTCTCCCCCTACATCTCCCATCGCCTCAGCACCAGTCAACATGGCCACTCTGCAACATCACAGGCAGCTTCTTATGCACGGCACGGAGGTGAGCTGCGACTCAGCCAGGGGCGATGGCGCCGTCACAGTGCGGATTGCCAATAACTCCACCCGGATGCAACAGCAACAGCATCATGAGCCACTTCGGGTTGCAAAGAGTGAGGGAGGAGGAGGAGGAGGCTCCAGTAAAGCGAAACCTGCCCTCCACAAGTACAGCATCTCCTCCAGCTGCAGCTCAGCAGACTCCAGACCCATCATAACTTACACTCCCAGTGTGCAGAAGAAGGCCCCTCCACTGTTTGAACGCTCTGCCGCCCAGTGCTGGGACCCCAAGTTTGACTCCTCCGTCCTGGAGGACGCCTGCCAGGAAAGGTGCTTTCCACAGAAGCAGAGGCGCTTCCGTTACGTCCTCTTCTACCTGGCAGTGGCTTCTCTACTCTGGGGGGTGTACTTTGGGGTGAACAGTGACCGCTGTCGTCCCCTGACCTTCCTCGCCCCCACCGCCTCCTTTCTGGCCCTGCTGGTGCTTTTATTTCTGTTCACCTTTACCAAGCCGTACATGTGGCTGTACAACCAGACGTCCCTGCTGCTAATAGTCCTTACATTTGCCATCACTTTGGCTCCACAGATGCAAACTGCTACCTATGACTGGGCTGCCGAAGTGAATGCATCTTACACCTCTCTGAACAAAGAGATTCTGCCTCAGATGTCCTGCATCTCTCCCATTGGCACCTTTTCCCTCTGCATCGAGGTCCTGTTATTGGTATACAGCGTCCTCCATGTCCGTCTGTATGCCTCAGTGATGCTGGGCCTCCTGTACTCTGTCTTATTTGAGGCTTTAGGATGGCTGCCGCTGCTTCAGAGGAATTATGAAGCTACTGGACAGGTGTCAAGTTTGCAAAACACACTCCTCTGGCTTGGCCCGGGCAAGGGTCTACTCCACCTGTGTGCACACGTCATTGGCATTCATCTTTTCATCATGTCCGAGGTGCGATCCCGCAGCACCTTTCTGAAAGTGGGCCAAGCCATAATGCACGGCAAAGACTTGGAGGTGGAGAAGGCCTTGAAGGAAAGGATGATCCACTGGGTCATGCCGAGGCCAGTTGCAGACGAGCTAATGAAGCAGGGCGACGATGAGGGCGGCGGCGAGAATTCTGGGAAGAGATATTCGTCCGGCGCCTGCTCTGCCTCGGCCGTGGCAGTAGGAGGCGGAGGGAGCGGAGGAGCTCTCCAAAGCCAAAGTGTTACAAGTTCTAAGAATAACCCTCATAGCAATCACAGACGTAAAAAGACCTCAATACCAGGAGGGCAGATAATATTCAGACCCTTTAACATGAAACGCATGGAGCCTGTCAGCATCCTCTTCGCCGACATTGTGGGCTTCACCAAAATGTCCGCCAACAAGAAGGCGCCTGCCCTGGTGGGTCTCCTCAATGACCTGTTCGGACGTTTTGACAGACTCTGCGAATTGACCTGCTGCGAGAAGATCAGCACTCTGGGAGACTGCTACTACTGCGTCGCAGGGTGCCCCGAGCCCAGACCGGACCACGCATACTGCTGCGTCGAGATGGGATTGGGCATGATCCAGGCCATCGAGCAGTTCTGCCAGGAGACGTGTGAGACTGTCAACATGCGGGTCGGTGTCCACACGGGCACCGTGCTGTGCGGGATCCTGGGAATGAAAAGGTTCAAGTTTGATGTGTGGTCCAATGACGTTAATCTGGCGAACTTGATGGAGCAGCTGGGCATGGCGGGGAAGGTTCATCTGTCCGAAGCTACTGCCCGGTTCCTGGACGACCGCTACCAGAGGGAGGACGGGCAGGTGGCCGAGAGAGCAGGGCAGAGTGCAATCGAGAAACTGAAAGGTAAGTGGCTGTTTACCTCTGATTTCCTCACCAGGTTGCAGAATGAACTCACTTAAAATGCCAAGCCAGCTGACAGATGCATCTTCAGAGCTGTTTTTGGGTCGGAGTGTCATCACAAAAAAGCAGTTTAAACTGCGGTAAAGGCTTGAAAGATCATCACAGTTCAAGAAAATGACTCTTCAAGAGGGTCTATATATGCTGGCAGTACACTGAGTGTGTACTGCCAGCTTTGTCTGAATCCGACCCCATAATCCAGTTCAAATTAAGCAGAGATCAGAATATAACTCAGATTGGAGCACCTGAAGTGTAGGCAGGTTTTATTTTTAAACGTTCTGGGTGTCATTCCGCATTTCCTAGTATCTGAAAATAAATCAGATGGTCTATATTTGGAGCTTTCAACAGATGTATTTAGGGAACGTGGATCACCCTGTTCGTTTAAAATCCTAATTACACCAAACGGTGGTTTTGCGGGGATCTGTGTGCTCTTGACATTCTCGGGCACGGCTCTGCAGATGTATTTTGAATCATGCATGCTTGTGCCACTGAGATTAGGACCGTTAATCTTCAAATATAACAAATGGATTTTGAAATCCTCGCTGCAGACGACTGTTTGCAACTTGCATAATAACAACATAAATGGATACCGACAGCTCAAGGATCACCAGATAAAATTACATTTGGAGAGAGGGCTCCGATGTGCGACCGTCAGAAAGCTGGTGTGTTTGATAAGCTTGTTTAGATGCAGACAAGGTCGTGGATTTCGTTTTAGCTCTCTTTTTGGCTCACGCTTCGGTTGTGTTTGTGGTCTGACGCTGCTGCTGGGCGGTGTGAGCTGAGATTTTGCTGTCGATAAGGTGAGGGACGGCTGGATTTGCTGTTCCTAGATGGGCTGTTGCGGTGGGCTTCAGTAGATTACACGAGTGCTCGCCACGCTGCGTCCGCGAACTTTAGTGGAAGGCTGCAGGGCCCAGAAAGACGGCACACAGACAGACGTCTGGCATTTATGCAAGTTTGAAAGCTGTCAGAGTCTTCTGATGGGACAACCACAGTGATACGACAGGTGCTTGCATGAAAACTAGATTTCTGTTTTGAGTTTTCATTGAACTGAAAATCACATAAAAATGGAATAAAACAAAAGAAGTGCAGCAGGTTGTTTTCATTGTATAGCAAAATGTAATTAGCAAATAAATACATGAAATAATTAATTAACCTCTTAACTGTCTCCCCAAAAAACACTTTGTCATCATGAGGGGTTTAAAACATTGCAATTAGAATAAAACTGCAAATACAGCAGTTGAATGTTGTCACAGTTATTGAAATTGTATAGTTTGCTGAATTATTAAGTACATAATGTAGAGCACTTTTGAACTGCCTTGTTGCTGAAATTGTGCAATATAAATAAAATTTACCTCACCTTACTTTCGGAAAAACAACCAATTTCTACATATATGTCGTCAGTTCGATCGTTCTGATGGATCTAAAGTCAATTACATGCATTTTGGAGCTCAATTTCAGCTATTAAACAATGCAGAAAAGTTTGTTTCATCATTCGGATCGGTCAAAGAGTGTGGAAACCCATCAGATTGTATCGAGTCACTCGCAGCGATCAATCCTCCTCAACTGGAGAAACAGTCATTTGCATTGAGCCTTTATCTTTGCAGAGATCCCTCATGCTGAGCATGCATGTGGAAACAGTGGGGAGGAGAAATCCCCTTTAACAGGAAGACACCTCCAACAGAACCTGGCTCAGGGTTAGCGGCCATCTGCGGCAGGCAACAGGGCCGGTTTCAGGAATATAGACACAGAAGCACTGATCCAGTAGTACTTTCTATAACGAAAAAGGAAAGTCACTGGCAGCAGTGGGTCCTTTAGACGCCTCATCTAGGAGAGAGACACAGCAACACAGATTAGCCCTGAGCTAGCTCAGCATTGCTCCAACTTTGAGCTTTATGCAAAATGACAGTTTTAAGATTGGCCTCAAAAAATAGAGAGGGTGTCTAAAACTGGGTTTTAGACATGATCTCTGGTTCTGCAGAAGAGGAGCCTGATAACTAAAGGATCAGCCTCCCGTTCTACTTATAGAAATTCTGGGAACCAGTTGTGAACCTGCTGGACTGAGAGCGAGGAACAAACCGCTGACATATGATGGATCTTGATTATTAAGGGATTTATATGTGACCAGGAGTTTTACGGATTCATCAGGGAGCCGATGAAGAGCAGCATGATCTCTGTTTTTAATCTCCATCTGAGTTTTGAAGTACATTTTTCTACAGTAGTCCAGTTACAGATGTATTGACTGGTGTTTGTGCAGGACATTATGTTTCTAGTTTTCACCATTTTGTAGCGGTGAAAGAGGAAAGTCCTAGAAAACTGGATTATATGGGATTTAAACAACAAATCGTGGTCAAGGATGACACCAAGGTTCTTCACTTGTTACCAGTTGCCAGCTTAATGGCACACAGTGCGGTGAACCAGTCTGCTTCTCAGAGGATCAGCTCCAAAGACGGCAACTTCAGCTTTGTCTGAATTTGAAAGCAGAAAATGTTCAGACATCTCGGTTTTTTATGTCTTCCAGACATACCTGTAGTCTACTTACCAGGTCAGATTCTGTGGGGTTTCTGAATATCGGCGGGTTTTTATCAGCGAAACAGTGGCATGTGTCCCATGCTGTCTGACGATTTCACCAATTGGAATCAAATGGGAAGTAAAGAGAACTGACTGAACCCTGTGGTACTTCACAGAAAACCCCTGAGTGCTGTGAAGATTTACGACTTGCATGAACAAATAAATCTGTCTGGGGCGAGCGATGTTCGTTTGAACCCGACAGAATATTGGAGCCTTTCTAAGGAAATGCTGTGATGCACCTCTGAGCGGGACAAGTCCATTATCTTTAGCCGGGCAGCTTTCACCTGTGCTGCCTCAATGCTATGATGCCTTAAAGTTTTTATATTGTAAAAATCACATGTGGTTATTTTAGTGTTTATTTAATAATCCCTTTATAGCTGTCCATAAAGTCAAATAAACACAATGGTTAATCACTTCACACCAATTACCATTTCTACAATGTGACTTTGATTGATTAGGCTGGCGTATATAAAATGAACTGATGTTGTGCATTCCCTGGTTTCAAGCTGATGAATTAAATAGTGAAACTATGTCAGTGCATTTACAGCAAATAACATGTATTTTCTTGTAACAAAATAGATAAAATAAATTTAATCCATCAAACTGAACAAACTCTTGAAAAGTGCAACAGATTGTGTGGCGCGTTGAGAGGAAATGTGATAAATGCTTATTAATTTCTTCATTTAACGACACCCGCTACACATAAAAAAGATAATTAATAAACAAACATTGAAGTACAATGCTGTAGATTCATCAAAAGGCTGACTTATAAAGAAAGTGGACATGGAATGATCAAGTGCATAGCGATGGATTTATATGCTCTTGTAAATAATACAGCTGTATTTCTAATTTGTTTTGTGTTTATTTTGAAATTCACATTGTCATCCATACTTCTCAACTAACATTTAGTTAAAGAAACCCTGTCTGCACGGCCTGTGGAACATATTTAACAAACTCTGACGATTGTAACCGAGATTTACCTGCTTTCCATTCTTTTATCAGATTAATTGCACAACCAGAGGGCACCTTTTAGAAACTGCCAAAATGATCCATAATAACATGTTGTGAAGGATAAAACAGAGATTTTCACTAATGTTTCATGTAGACACGCCACAAGAAAACACACACACACACACACGGAGTGAGCCTGTATCACAGAAACTAATCTCTCCAGCAGGGAATTCCTGGTGGGATGTCTAATCTTAGGTCACTGTGAAAAGAAACTGTCTGCTCTATTGTCGGGCCTTATGTCAGAGTGTATTCACTCTTGGCTCTAAATGGTGCCATCACTCTCTATTTCCAGGCTGGCAAACAGTAAGAGAGAGGGATATTGACAAGCAGCTTTTGTTGCAGGAGAGAAAAGCGGAGATTGAATGGCATCTCGTTACTCCGCTGAAACGCGGAGCGGCAGCTTCCTGTTTCAGAAAGGGGGAGAGAAATGAGGCCGGACTGCGGATTCTGTTTGGAGGAGCCGTAACTGCTTTAGAAAATGAATGGAGCTTTAAAACTAGATATACTAAAGTTAGCAATTCAGTTCCTTTTTTTTTAAACATGAAAAAAATACAAAATTGCTTAAAATGCAATACCGTAGCATTCCTTTAGTAAATCTGAACTTGGCGAAGCTAAGCCTACAACACCCCAGTAATTTTGGCTTAAACATATTTACAGGTAAGTGTGTTTGTATCTTTCCTTATTTTACTTCATTTACAGAGTGTGTTGTATTATTCCACCAAATGGCTTTTTTTTGAGTCAGCATAAGCCAATTAATGATTAATCGATCACTAAATTAATCAATTATTATCGCAATAAACAATTAATCCGATTAATCGTGTCAACCCTAAGTTATTTGTACCATTTATTTTTTCAGCAGTGAACTAATAGTGCAACGTGTAATTTGAATAATATTTTGAGGTTTTGTTCTCAAGTTAGAAATAATTGTGTTGATTTGTCCATTGGTTTCCTGTCAAGGCCTCTGTTTTTTATCGTTGTCTCAAAATGTCGGGTTGAGGTCAGGGTCGTCCCTGAAGCCCAACGGTGACCTGTTTTTATCCACTCCACTTTCCTGTTGGAACGACGACTCACCCATCCTGAAACCATCCGGCCGCTCAATTAAGGTGGATCTGTCTCGCGTATCAAGGCCACTGGCATTATGCCAGACCCTCAGCATGATGGTGCCACCATCATGTCTCACAACAAGAAGGGTTCTCTTAAGTTTGAAAGCCTCGCATTGATGCCTTTAAACGTGCAGCTTGTCAGCAGCTCAATCTTTGTCCTGCTCTGGCCAGCCAATGTTCGGTTCCGTTCAAGTCTACACTTTTTCTCCAGGACATTTGGATTGTCCACCTGGGGAGCTGCGTGTTTCCATCGAGCTTGAA